TTTAAAAAAATAGGGTTAAGGGTAATCACTTGATTGTATATTATTTTTATTTTCAATAAAAATCCTCGAGGAATTGTTGATCAATGATAAAGCTAGCAATAGGCTAGAAATTTTTTTATTTTAGAACATTAAAATAAGTCAAATTTGAATTTATATATCGGTCAAGGACCTTGTGGAGGCCTATGACTATTTTATTTTTCATGAAGTCATTTTTATATGATCTGCGATTTTTTATGTGTTTTTATATCTTACATTTGATGTGTTTATTTTATGTGATGCCAGTTTAAGTCGGTTTAGATGGAGTAGATTTATGACTCGAAATCTATTTTGTTCTAATGACGGGCCTTTTCTTAACTTTTTTATGGCTATTGTTTATAGTTGATTTTAATCATTTTTTTTATGATGCTACTAATTTCTTCTTCTTGCAGATTTAGCTCTTAATTTGGCCTTAGGTCTAATTTTATAATTTAAAATGGCATGGCAAGCGATATGGACTTTAAGGCCTATGTCCATTTCTTTTAATCATTACATACTTATAATTTTATTTTATTTTTATTTTTTATGGGTTGATTGGTGAATTTGGGCCGGGGCCCATGTTCATTTTATTTTTTATTTTTGTGTTTTTGTGGGATTAGAATTTAAAGTGCAATGGGCTTTTAACCCTAATTTTTACCTTCTCAAAAGGGCTCCAACGACCTAATGACATATTAGGTGAGAGACCGAGTTTTATTTTAGTCTCTAAATCACCTTTCTTAAGACTTGATTAGAAAAAACTCAAATAGTCAAGCACACAAATTATGATAAAAAGATAATTTACATGAATGAATTCCTTTAAACGAGAAACACAAGGTAATTTCATTACGAGGGCACTCTAAGATGACTCGTAATCTTCTCTAGTTGTATAATCAACCCTTTTACTTAAAACTCTTGAGACCATTACCGAGTTTTCTTAGTTTTTATCTATTTGAAAACTAAGTGACAACTCTACATTTACACCTATACATTTTTTTTTTCATTTTTAGCAATCGTCGAGAGGTTACCATGTGACAATGCTGGAAGAGTGGAGGAGAAGCAAATGGAGTTTTGTGCCAATATCATTATTTCCCATAAATATTAATAGTAGTTGAGATATACTGTTACAAATTCAAGATTAAAGTATGGTCGATCCATTCAAAAGGATAATTTACATTCTAATAATCTTATTAAAGAATTTGACTTGTTTACATGTATGTTTGGTAATATTTTACGTGTCTTTGTAAAAATACATATATTTAGACCTAAAAAATATTTTTCAATAATTTTAACATCTCGGTATTAAAATTATTCAAAAACATAAAAACAAACACAAATGTTTGATGCCTTTTCTAATCCAAATATATTTTAAAAAGTAATTTCAAAGGTACTATCAAACACAAACTTAAATTATAAATTACAAGTTGATGTGATCTATCAAGTTTGTATTATATACGACTCTCTCCCTATCCTTCCTTTATTTGCTTTGGATTCCAAACCTAACCCTTGATGGGGATAAAAGCTAAAACTTTCCCAGCTGTTTCAAATTTCAGCAACAAATGGAAACGCGTCCATGATAGTTCGTTGTGATAGGTGACCAGAAAAACGTCACATGCTTCCTTTGGATTGTTATCTCATCAAGTCTAAAAATCCTAGGCTTTCGAGGCCGATTACTTAGCACACAACAATAATCTTCCAAATAATTACACACATATTCTATGGGATCAAAGTGACACTTTCAATATATACAATATGCACTTGGCCGAATGTGCAATCTAAGCAAGATCTGGTCAAAGATTAAACCCATAAGAAAAATATCTACAAAAAGTGCATGAATAGTCCCCATCACATTGCATAATTCATTCACACCTGAACCTGTCAACTTGTCAACTTGTCGATTTTGTGTTCCAATATTTGTTGTTAGGCCACCAAGATCGACTCTTCGTTATATCTAACCATACCTATCTATCTATTTCCATGGGGGTCCCTCTTGGGCGGCTCCTCGATTACGTAGGAGAGGATCCATCCCTTCATATACCAAAGCATTCCCACAAAAAAATCTCCTTTATTCCCACCAAAAACCCCCAACACTTTTAAGATATCTCCACGCAGCTGGAGGATGCTGCTTCTTGATCATTGGCACGTGGCAAGACCTGAGAAGGCTTGAGGATAAAATTGATGAAGGGACGGACCAATTATGTTTCCATTTATAACCAAACCAGTTTGATCCATTGAGGATTTGAACTCTTAGCGTTAGGTACACCATTAGGCATTCATAGGCTCTAAAATGTCAATAAATGTTGATTAGATTCCCATGTTGTGTCCTATCGGGGGAAGCATTGTTTTTAATGGGTTAGGCAGGTCGTTGCGGGGAGCAATTATTAAGTTGACTATTTCTGTTAGGTTTTAAATAAAACTTTCACATTTTGATTTCACAATATTTATTTTTTCTTTTGTTATTTATTTAGATTTGAACCCAAAAAATACAACATGTATCCCAAAAAGACTGTCACTCTTTTTATTTATATGTATTTCAAAATATTTGTTTGGAAAATAATATACTTTCTTAAAATATTTTTAATTGATAAAAAAAATCAATTCTTTCTTTTCTTTTATGTTTTTCACTAACAAAAAATAAAAATATTCTTTATACTTTTTCCTTATACACACAAATATATTTAATATAAAAGAATTAAAAAATTTTGGTTACGTGAAAAATATTCATTCTTAAAAAAATCTTTATTGCATGTCAAAATTTTGAAAGTAAATATTTTCATTAGTATGTTATTTTTTCATAAATGTTAATTAACTTAGTGGTTTTTTTATTTATCATCTTAATTTTGGATAAATTTTCTTTTTAAATTAATAATGGTTTTATATAATGTATGATTAAATTTGATAACTAATGATTTAACGTAAAAAGGTTTTTTAATAAGTTATGAATAAAAAATATTGATATTCCATAACAATTAATAACTTTCTTAAAATATGTGAAAGGTAAAAAAAAAAAAAAAACAATCTCTTTTTTTAATAAATTCAATTTTATTAAGAAATCAATGAGGGTACATTAATTTGGATAATTTTTTCATAGACACTACGGGAGATCCTAACATATCCTTGCTTAGTAGGATTGAATCCGGCTAAATTAGCTAATTTACGAATAGACTTATTGGGTGCACGACTACCATGGATAGAGGGGGGAAAAAGAAAAAAGAAAAAAAAAAAAAAGAAATGAAGCTAACTAACTAGCGTTTTAATATCCACAGAAATAGAAGATAAGGAACTACCATCTTCTTATATTTAATTTGAGTTGAGAAACAAAGCTAGCACAGTCTGACTCCCAAGATACAACAACATTATTAATGTCTACATCAAGCTAAAGTCCAAAAATTCACCTATATCAATAGTATGTTGTACCTTTAGACATTTGTGAGCCGAGAACATGATTTTTCCTCAAGAATTCCCTCCAATCACTTCAAATCCACTGATATTTTCACTCAACGAATTACATCATCCCATGAAGACACCCAACATGAGGACTCTTGATTGCGAGACTAAGCCATGGAAATTTACTCTTTATGATTAGCAGTTTGGTAATGAAAAATAATAGGTAATAATTTGTATTACACTCGAAACATCAATCTCCTTGTTCTAGAAGTATAAAAAAATTTAGCATATACCAAATACCCTAAACTATATCCGTCATCCGATAGTAGTAATGAATTACAAAACCAATCCAAAAGAAAGATAATTAAGTATAATGAATTACAGAATCAATCCTAAAAGAAAGATACTCTCTTTCATTAGGGAGAGTAATTAATAATAAATAGATTAATTCCTCTAATCGGTGGGATCAAACCTTAAAGAAAGGTTAAAATCAATAAAAGTTTAAACTTACGAATTTCAATTAAATATCATTGAGTTGTTCACCTACAACTAAATAAATTTTGAATGGGCCAAAGAAATGGATCTACCTAGATTCTATCTTAGTGAGAGATCGTGTGGGGCATTAGAAGATGTGAAAAGGAATACAAACTATGGCAGTATTAGATGGTGCCCTTTTCAAACTAGAATTGACAGGAGATGCGAGGAGGAGTTTGGATATGTTGTAGTGTAGAAAACTCCACGTTTGTAGCTTTTGTATCACTCTTCTTCTTTCTATACAGATAAAATACAAAGATTAGGACATGGTGCATGTCACTGTAATAGGAGCTCGCAGTAGGCCAATAATCTTCAATAATATCCTTGGTTTCTACTGGATCATACACTGCCTATCCTACTCAATTTGACCCAAAACGACCAGTGCATGTCCATTTTCTAGCATGGCTCGAGTCAGTTTTTTGTTGGCGCACGAAAAGTTATTCTAGAAATGCAAAATCACGAAGAAAGGGATGGAAATGAATTTCCATTCTATCTCAATCACTAGAGTTTATTCGAAAATATTTTCTTTTTCCTCCTGACAATACCGGACTCAGCTTTTGTGGATTAAAGCATGCCCTTCTTCTTTTCTTATAGAACTGCATTCTTAAATACGTGCATCTGACGGAGACAAATTAACCAGTGATTTATATTAGTGGTTAACCGTCAACGTTAGGGGAAAAAAAAAGAAATCGAATTTAATATTATCTCCTTCCCCAAATTTATATCAAACATGAGGAAAAAGAATGAGAAATTATAAAAATAACTTGTCTATCATTTTACGCCTATTCCAGACATATCTAACTTTACAAAGAGAGGGGCAAGGAATTTGGAGGATTTTTTTTTTTTTTTTTTTTGGGTTTTTGGCCTTTCTCTTTTACAGATTTAATGCTATTTTTCTTTTCTTTTCCACCTCTCATTTTGGATTACAAATATAGTATTTATTCATTTATAATTTTTATTGAATTTAAAATTTGATTTGATTTATTTTTATACAAAACTATTTATTCTTAATTTTTTCAATTCATAACAAATATTCTCAACACCTTAATCCTTTGATACTTTGTTACGGTTCAAGCCCACTACTACATGCCTTCAAAGACCGAGTCTCTAGCAGTAGTATTTGTTTTCCTACAAAATCTCCACTTCTAGTTGTTATTTCCTTTCCGAATGGTTCTTTTTACTTCAGTATTTGTTTCCTTAAGAATAGTTCTTTCGAGTTGTTATTTCCTTTAAAGAGGTCGGTTAAATAGCCGATGAATTATTAGGATTTGATCTTTATGGTTTTTTACTAATTACCACCGTAAGTCGCTCTATATAAAGGAGCTTTTGAATTCAATCAAGGGGATATAAAAGTATTTAGCCAAAGCATTTCTTTCTTTCTATATACACTCTTTGTCTTTATAGCTCTCTCAAGATAGCTCGTGGTAGGAATAGAAGGTATGATCGTGGTATAGACCTTATAGAGATTCGGGTATGTAACAATTTAGTATCGAGCCCGACAATGCCAATGAATCGAACGACAAACATCTCTTACGACTTGAGCATTAGATTGAGAGTCTTAGCAAGCAAATGACGGAGTTTTTTCAAATAATTCGGACCGGGGAGGAGGCCTCTACAAGTCGTCTTGGTCCAAAAAGAGCATGTCGGGTTGCTAAATTTGCACGGTGATCTTGAACAAAAAAAGGACGTCCTAATGCATGATCTAAGGAGAAAGTGTAGAGATCGTTGTCAAGCGGACCTATGTGTAATATCAATCTTTCACGAAAAATTATTTGTGAAAAATTCAAGAAAACATGAATTATTTTTTGCAAAGCTATTGACGAACAAGAGATCTTGATTGCTAGAAGAAACATTTAAGATATTATTAAGACAAAACGAACAATTATTAAGTTAAAAAAAAGAAAAAGAAAAACCAACATGAATAATAGGAACATGTTTACCATCGATCAATTCCACCTCCTTAGGACTATGATACTCATTGTGAATTGTAAGATTTTTCAATTTTCCATCATGTGATAAGTTACACTAGCATTCACAAACCACTATGAATTATTTGGTGTGGAGTTTGACAAAGCAAGATGGAGGAGGGTTTATAGTTGTGGGATATTGTTCGAGACTTTGGAGAGGGACATACATTGGCAAGATAGCCATTTCCATTATAGTTAAAATAGAAGGAAAATTTAAGATATTATTAAGACAAAACGAACAATGATTAAGTTGAAAAAAAAATACAACATGAATAATGGGAACATGTTTACAATCTTTCAATTCCACCTTCTTAGGACCATGATACTCATTGTGAATGGCAAGATTTTCCAATTTGCCATCATGTGATGAGTTACACCGGCATTCACAATCCACGATGAATTATTTGGTGTGGAGTTTGACAAAGCAAGATGGAGGAGGGTTTATAGTTGCGGGCTATTGTTCGGGACTTTGGAGAGGGACATACATTGACAAGATAGCCATTTTCATTATAGTTAAAATAGATAATGGGGCTGGAAGCAAGGAGTAAATGATTAGAAATGGAAGCTCCTTTGTGAGAACCGGATGGTAAAGGACGTCCACCATAACGACTTCGGCCACAACTAGGAAACTCGTCAACTGGCTTAATAAATAAAGTGAGAGTGTCAATAGAGTCGAAGACCACTCGTGAAGGTGAAATTCTTCTCTTAAAGCAAGACCATATAAAGTCTCATAAAGAATATATTTGTGCTTTGATTATATTGAGCACTTGAAAGGCTTGTAGAAAGCACCAAAGCCACATAATAAAGCTTGAACAAAGTCATCTTTGGGGGATGCAATCCAATGGAGTGAAGAAGATAATAGATACTCTTTCCCAACTGAAAATATTATGATATGGATTTAGCGGATCAATGAACAAGATGGTAAAGATTGCTTTTGAGGTGATTAACCTATGTCCTTATGCTAGAACCGACTGCAAGTAGTACGTTTATTAAGCCAAGCCCTATGAGCTATGGGTGCACCAACCACAAGAGGAAGGATCGCCTCTATCAAGAAATCAACAATCCAAGTGAGGACCACTTGGTCATGTCGATCACAAAGAGCATAGGCTAGATTGGGTTCATTACTGTAGGGAGTAGCAATAGGGAGAGATCGGGAGCTAGCCATCAATATGATGGAAAAGACCATGGCAGCATAAGAAGGGTTGGAATTATGTTTGCTAGAGGATGAAATTTACAAGAGTGAGTTTAAGTAAAATGTAAGAGTTAAGATTGGAAAGAGTGAGCGAGAATTGCATAAGTGGTAGAAGCCACATGAATTATAGTGCTATCTTGTGATGTAGTAGCCATGGGGAAGAAAAAAAGAAATATAGTGGATTATTAAACCTCTTTTAGCTCTAACTAGTCGGATACCCGCGTTATGCTACGAGTAGACAACCGTTACATATGTAGGGTTAACAATTCGTATGGTGTAATACCAGTAGAAAGTTTTATTTTTTGTGATTAATATAAATTGAATCTATATATAATTAATTTATAATAAAACTATATATATATATTGAATATTGAGAGTATAGAGAATAAATAGAAAAATATACAAAAAAAACCCACTCGAATTATAGAAATATATTGAAATCAATAGATTAAAATAAAAACTACAACAAAATCGGTTCTAATAAATTTCGAATGAATATATATATATAAAAAATAAAACTTATGAATTTTTTAACTCATTATTTAAAAACAAAAGAGTCAAACTATGTAAAATATACTTCTCTCTCTCTCTCTCTCTCTCTCTCTCTCTATATATATATATATATATATATATTAAAAAATAAAACACTTATTTAAAAATATAAAAATAATTTATTGTATAAATTACAATATTATATTTTTAAAAAATAAAACATTGATATTGTAAAATTTTATTCTAAAATTCATATATTAAAAAACTAAATTTATTAACTAATAAAATTATATCAAAAAATTATTATCCATTACAAATTTATAATAAAATAAAAAATAAAAAATGTTTCAAAATAATTATTATAACTTAAAAATATGTTTGTTAATCATGAGCCCTACATGTACGAAGGAAAGCAAAATAAAAAGGAAAAAAATGCCAGGCACCAAGGCTTGGGTCTGCAAGCATGTGGATAGCTACAAGAAAACTAACAATATAAGTGATTTAGCTAAAATATAGGAAAAGCAGATACAGATAAACTGACAAATGAATTCTTATTCTTGTCAGAGTTGTGAACCAATTTAGTCACTCGCGATAAGATTATTATTATTATTATTATTTTGATGTATTCTTACCATTTTTGTTGATGTTGAATTGCATTAGGCAAGCTACATTTATTATATTCAAAATATTGGGATGAATTAAAAAGAAAAACTCATAACTATAATACAAAATAGAATTAATATCAAAAGAGGTTATTATATATTTGTGATATATTGTTATCTCATTCATATAAGGAAAAAAAATCATAAATATTTATTATTATTATTATTATTATTATAACGTTAAAAAATATAGGTTGTGTGATGCTACTAGTGATATATTAATTATAAATACTGATTAAATTTTAGCACATATAATAAAATCTACATTTTATATATATATGTTATGCAATCCACTCCTTTTTCGTAACAGATCTCACTTTTATATTTTATATTAAGGTGGGATACAGAAATGCACATAACAATTTCTATAGAAAAGGAAAAAACTTTTAAAACCGTTATCTGCTGCATCAAGAGTAAGACAGTTAAGGCATTTGAAAAACATGGGCTACAAAACCAGTCCGTCACGCTGGAATTGCCGCCAAAATTACCGGCAAAACCGCAAAAGCACCCACCCATCCTGCACTCGGCACGTGTTCTCAAACCACGTCACCATCTCATGAATCGTACGGACAGCGACGCTCCCCCTTGGTTAAATGCTGATGTAATTAATTATTATAAGACCCAGAAGAAAAAGAAAAAAAAAAAAAAAAACGCCACTCGCACAGTAACAATTAACATCAAAGTAACAGCACTTCACTTTCTCAGCCCCCTGACCGCGGGCAGCAAGCAACGGTTGTTCCACCCAATAAAAAATCTACACGTGGTTTAAAAAGTAATCGGGAAAAATAAATGGTCGCGAAAGATAGTTAGATAGGAAGGTTGTTACTCTGGTTGGCTAAAGCGCTCTCTCTCTCTTACTCTGGTCTGGTTTTTTTCCTTGGATATTGGAGGAACGTATTTGTGTTTTCTTCTTGGGTTAGGCTTTTTTTTCCCCCTCTTTTGCTGGAAAGAATCTTGAAAGCAAAATGGATGATGAGTATGCTAAGCTAATCAGGAGATTGAACCCACCAAGGTACTTACTTTTTTTGGTTTTTTTTTTTCCCTTGGACTGTGTTTTTGCTTGAAGATGAACATGGCTTTAGAAAGAAGTTTACAGTCTCTGCAAGTTATCCCCTTTCTTAATTAGTCTTTGCTTCCAATTTCTTTGTTTCTTTGTTTGGTTGAAGAGAAGTGATCGAGAGTAGAAATGAAATAGAAAAAATCAAACCTTTATGTTGAATTATGACTTGACATCTACCATATTGCTGAATTTTGATTGACATGCTAGAGTTTGTGAATTTTGGGGAAAAAAAATCTCTTTAATTGGTCAGCCATCAAACGGTTGAAATTACACTACTTTTTAGCATAATTTTCTTTTTCCTTCGTTTTCTCCAATTTTTTTAGGAACTGAATAGAGCCTTCAAATCCCAACCTCTTTTCCAAAACTAAGTAATTTTATTCAAATTGAGCAAATTCGAAGCATTAAAGAGTGAGAGGTTGGGTTTTTTTTTTTTTTTTTCCTCTTATGCCGTCTGTTTAGTGTTGAATACCATAAAGATTTTTAATTCGCTTTCCTGTTGCAGAGTTGTGATTGACAATGATGCTCGTGAGGATGCCACTGTTATCCAGGTAAAATTTGTGTACTTTTCATAATTTTGTTAGTGGTTTAGAAAAGTTTTGTTCCAGTAGCACATGGATGCTTTGATGAGTAAATAAGTTCCTTAAATTAACTGATTTTATGAGATAATTAGTAAATTAAGACTATCCAGGCTTGTTTAATTTGAGATAATTTGTATTCTTTTGAGAAAAATAACCATTCTGTGTAATTTCTCTGATTTTGTTAAGTTAACAAGAATTGATTTTTCTATTCAGGTTGATAGTGTCAACAAGCATGGAATACTCCTCAAAGTTGTACAAGTGCTTACGGACATGAATCTTGTGATAACAAAAGCATACATATCATCTGATGGGGAGTGGTTTATGGATGGTAACTTTTCTTTTGCAATCTCTCAGAAAGTTTTTTAAAAGAGTAACAAGGTTCAAAAGAGTCTTATTTTGGTTCTTATATATATGTATGTATGTTTTTTTTCATGTATCTCAGTATTTAATGTTGTCGACCAAGATGGGAAGAAAATCAGAGATAAGGAAGTTATGGATTATATTCAAAGAGTAAGGCTTATCTGTTACTGCTGTTTCTTATTTTTGCATACTGCCCATTTGATCCCCAAAATGTCAGGGTAAAGAAACAGAAAACTAGTCTGAATACTTGCAACAATCGATTCATGTATTGCATCATCCTCAGTAAGGTGGATTATCTTCATTCTCTTTGGTCTCAAATAATCAAAATTTTGAGATATAGAATTTGACTCCGCCTGTCCCCAATTTCATCAGCATAAAAGGAAACGGTTTACCAAGAATTCTCAGGAAACAATTCGTTTTCCTTTGTATTAATCAGCACTGGATATCATGTTATGTTTCTTTCTTACGACGGCAGGGGCATGTCTACATCAGTTTGATTATATTTTGAAGAAAATGCACCTAGTAATAATATTGATACAAATGGAACTTGGGAGAAATCAGGCTAACCTTGGTTGAGATTAGATTCCGAGTCTTTTGTGAACTGTTGAATTCAGATTAAAGTTTGCTAAAGAAAAAGTTCTTATATGTTTTGTAATGGAGGATTAGTCAGAAAAGACAATTGTTTGTAATTTTTTTAATCTTATATATTCTTCAAGTTAATGAACATTTAAGATTACCAAATTTTGATATTGCACATGTTGCATTCCTTTCCCCCAGTTGTATTTGCTACAATTTGTTGTCCACTTGTCCTCAATAAATTACAATGTGAGTAGAACCCATCATTGGACTCATGTTTCTTGTTACTCTCTGATTCTGCAGAGACTTGAAAGTAATGCTAGCTTTGCACCATCATTGAGAGGGTCAGTTGGGTTGATGCCCTCTGAAGAGCATACTGCAGTTGAGCTCACCGGTACTGACAGGCCTGGTTTATTGTCTGAAGTATGTGCAGTTCTCACAGACCTTCACTGCAATGTGTTAAATGCTGAGATATGGACCCACAACGCTAGGGCTGCGGCTGTAGTTCATGTCACAGATGATTCCACAGGGCGTGCAATTATAGATCCAAAACGACTCTCAACCATCAGGGAATTGCTTTGCAATGTTCTCAAAGGAAATGATGATTTGAAGACAGCAACTACAACTCTTTCACCCCCTGGGGTAACAAGTAGGGAAAGAAGATTGCATCAAATTATGTTTGCAGATAGGGACTATGAAAAAGTTGAAAGAGCGGGATTAGCAAGATTTGAAGATAAGAGTGCAAGACCCCATGTAACAGTGTTGAATATTGAGAAAGATTACACCGTCATTTCTATGAGGTCAAAGGATCGTCCCAAACTGTTGTTTGACATTGTTTGCACTTTAACAGACATGGAGTATGTTGTCTTTCATGGAATGGTCAGCACAGGAAGAATGGAAGCTTATCAGGTAAGATGAGTTTAGTCAAAATTTAAAAGGCAGGTTTTCTTGAGTGATAATTTAACTTGGGAACATCTTCTGCTCTCTGAAATGGCATAAATATAGCAGCTATTTCATCAACTGGTCAATTTATGAACAATTAAATAACAAATTAATTTTGATTGTGGAGCTGAACATAGTATAGGGTAGAGTTTCCAATCAAGTTAATTGAGCATAACTTCATATGCTATATTTTGCACTCCGTTTCCTCCTGTTCTTTCAATGTATAGAGAAAACCGGTCCCTATTTAAAGAGCAAAATTTTGTTTGGTTGTAGGAATTCTATGTTCGACATGTTGATGGATTCCCTGTAAGCTCAGATGCTGAGCGAGAACGCGTAGTACAGTGTCTTGAAGCTGCCATTGAAAGGCGAGCATCTGAGGTAACTTTTTACCGTTCTGTTTTAATTTGTAAGTTATAATCATGGTAGGCAAGCTTGTCATTGTTTATATCTTCCTTGACTATGCAGGGACTGGAGCTAGAATTGTGCACAGAGGACCGTTTTGGACTCCTCTCAGACATTACCAGGATATTCCGAGAAAACAGTTTGTGTATTAAGAGAGCAGAAATCTTGACAAAAGGTGGTAAAGCCATAGACACATTCTATGTCACAGACGTTACTGGTAACCCAGTTGACCCCAAGCTCATCGATTCAATTCGCAGGCAGATTGGACGAACCAAGCTGCTAGTAAAACACAACTCTATTCTTTCCCCAAAGCCTCCTCCCCAAGAAACAACAATGGGATACATCTTTGGGAACCTCTTTAAAGCTCGGAAATTCAAATTGATTAGATCCTACTCATAATCTGTGTCCAAATCCACACCGGTATATATCTGTGCAGAATCATTAGATCTTCAAACCCCGAAAAAGGGAAGAAAGACAGAGATCAAGAAGGAAACATTGTAAATAGGCATCTTCTGCCCTTTCGTCCTGAGGGCTTAATCATTGTTTATATCATGATGATATACTTGTAAAGAAGCAGCTCAAAAGCCACGACTATGGCTGATGGTGCTTCATACATCATGTAGTAGGTATCATGCATTTTATAGTGTGTACATGGCTTGTACAGAATCTGCAAGTTTGTGCATATAATTGAAGAAAATGATGTGAATATTGCATTTACAAGTTTGTCTGATTTGAGAGTACTGTTGATTGTGGGATCATGCGTTTTCATAGCTTTTAGTTTTGGGAGAAGTCTCAAATTTGATGCTTCTACAGTTTTTATTTTTATTTTTTAATATTTTTGACAACAGTAAATCAGAAGTATGCAAAATCACTATTTTAAATGCAGTTTAAAAAAAAAAAAAAGGTCCTCTATGAATTCAAATCTTAAACATTGATTTTAATTCAAAGATATGGATTTTACAAAGGTTGATCCATTTGGTTCTTCAAAAAAAAAAAAATAGAGAGAGAGAGAGAGAGAGAGATAGATTTGAGGTAGTTCAAAAACTCTGCATTTTGCAATTGATGCTTTTCAGTTTTCACTTCTTTCTCGAAACTTGAAAAAGAATGGCGCGCATGGCAACTGAGTTAGCAGCTCGGATAAGCAGAGCTCTAATCACCGAGTCAAACAGCTCAATCCCAACTCGATCATGGAGTCCATCACTCGAGCAAACTCTACACAAAATCGGTTGCCGCGAATTGCTGAATCCGTCACTCGTAGCCCGAGTCATTGACCCACATCTCTTGACTCACCACTCTCTTGCTCTGGGTTTCTTCAATTGGGCCTCTCAACAACCCGGGTTCACTCACAATTCACTTACTTACCAATCAGTATTCAAATCTCTCTCTTTCTCCCGCCAATTCAACGCTACCGAGTCACTGTTAAAGCAAGCCAAAGCTCAAAACCTGACTCTTGATTCTTCAAGTTATCGATTTGTTATCGATTCTTTGATTAAAAGAGGAAAAACCCAGGCGGCATTTTCGGTTTTTAATGAGATTAAATCACAAAGTTTAGACCTTGGGACTGATTCAAGTAACTCTCTTTTGTCTGCATTGGGGTCTGATGGGTGTTTTGACAATGCAATGAAGGTGTTCGTGGAAATGACTACGAGAGGTACTGCTTTTAGTACTATCGGGTTTGGAGTGTTTATATGGAGGCTTTGTAGAAATGGTGATTTGGGTGAAGTTTTGCGCTTGATAGATGAGGCTAGAAGGGGGAATTCGATGATTAACGGATCGGTTATTGCGGTTTTGATTGTTCATGGACTTTGTGAGGGTTCAAGAACAAGTGAGGCTTTGTGGGCATTGAGTGAGTTGAGAATTAGGGGATGGAAACCTGATTTTATTGCATACAGGGTCGTTGCTGAAGCTTTTAGATCGCTTGGAAGCGTGTTTGATGTAAATGAGGTTTTGAAGATGAAAAGGAAGTTAGGAGTGGCGCCAAGGAGTAATGATTACAGAGAGTTTATTTTGGGTTTGATTACGGAAAGACGGATATATGAAGCAAAAGAATTAGCCAAAGTTATTGCAAGTGGCAACTTTCCTATCGAAGATGATGTTTTGAATGCTCTGATAGGATCAGTGTCGAGCATTGATCCTTATTCAGCAATGGAGTTTTTTCATTTTGTCATTGGAAAAGGGAAGATCCCAACGCTTTTAACATTGAGCAATTTGAGTAGGAACCTATGTAAGCATGGGAAGATTGATGAGCTGTTGGAGGTATACCGCGTTTTGTCTTCTAATGAATATTTCTCTGACATCGAGAGTTACAATGTGATGTTTTTGTTCTTATGCAAGGCCGGAAGAGTGAGAGAGGCTTATGAGGTGCTTCAGGAGATGAGAAAGAAAGGGTTAGGCCCAGATATCTCAATGTATAATTCCCTAATCGAAGTGTTATGTAGAGAAGATCTGTTGCGTCCTGCTAAAAGGCTTTGGGACGAAATGTTTGTAATCGGATGCGGAGGGAACTTGAAAACTTATAATATTCTCATTGGGAAATTTTCAGAAATAGGTCAAGTTGACGAGGCTATGGGGCTTTTCAATCACATGTTGGAGAAAAGGGTGACACCTGATGCTACAACTCACACATCCCTCCTTGAAGCCCTTTGTCAAGAAACAAAGTTTGAAACTGCAGTTGAAGTCTTCAACAAGTATGCGAGTCACGATATAGTGATTGCACAAAGTATATTGAAGACATTGATTCTTAACTTCTGTGGAAAAGGTATGCATGCGATATTAACCAGCTTATGTGTCTATATTGGACACCGTTTTGTGGAATAGCTATCTTTTATATGAAATGATTACTTCTTAAACTGATTTGTCACTCGAGGTGGTCTCGTTTGCTCTTGCTTCATTACGATCACTGTCAAACACTTTCGAAGCTTTACTAAATGCGTATATGCGCTCTGCAGGTCAATTCCTTGTCGCATCTAAGTTTCTGTGTAGCCTCACTCATGAAGGAGGTCATTCAGATGCCCATGTTGTTTTGTTAAAATGTTTAGCCGACTCTAAAGAGATTCCAATTGCGGTTGAACATGTAAAACAAATAGGAGGTAACTCACCTTCAATTTTGCAAGTCATATGTACTGAGCTTTCGGCCTTGCTTTCTTGTTCCTCTAACCCAGGGCCTATTTTGCACTTGCTTCAAGCTCTGTCACAAGAATGTGTGATCAATATAGATTCCGCCAATGATTCCTGGAAGCTTGTATGCAGCAACTCGTTGAAATGATCGTAGCTAAAATTCATAGGAGAAGTTGGACTCCTTGGTATAGACAGTGGTCCCTAAATTCAGAATTACATTGCTGCTTTCTTTCATGCTGGCTCCCTACAGCTATGATCAAATTTGCAAGATTAATTGTCTCTGTATCAGAAGGCAAGAACCATCAGAGTTCAAAGTAGTCCGAGGTTAAATCTAAACATTTCTACTATTTTAATTTTGTTTCTTTGTGTTCAACTAGCATTTACAGCTTACAGATCTCAAGTCAGCATCCTTCTGGAGGATCCATGCGTATATTTCTTCTGAGATGACATATCTGTGCTTCCTCATCTACCAAGGTTCCAACTCCACATCTACTACTAGTACTCCCATCCCATGACCTTCATGGACTACGTTGGTATGTTATTGCACCCCCAAGACGGTGGTAGTGCCCATGACTGATGCTGAAGCCAATAGAGAGCTAATAGCACCAGTCTTTGTCATCGTTCCAATTCGTGAGCCCTATTGTTCTGCTGTCATGATAAGTGATAACTTCCCACTACTACAATGGTCCTCCATTGATCTATCACAGAAATAGTTCCTGTCCGACCATCACCATCCCCTCTTTGTACGTGACCTGATAATTTCCAGTTCTAAAGGCACCCACCACTTTGTTGCCAAGCCTCCTTTCACTTGCACGCTCATTGGAAATATCTCCATTGTCAAGGAGCTGTATAATTGTCGCGTTGACATCGTGACGTCCAGACATCCATGCCTCAATAGCCAGTGCCTCTCTATCATCAGGGCCGCCCAAGAAGAGAACAGCAATCTGATAAAAGACCAGCTTTCCAAGCCAGGCCTTGAAGTATTCAGGAGTCCACGGTCAACAAGGATGACAACAGAGAAGGGGTGCCTTGTCGTCAGGGACATTACTGCTTGTAGTCTTGGTAGCCTTTCTTTGAGAAGCCACTTCACCATTGGCTAGGAATCTCCTGTGGAAAAGAACTGTAATTAAGGGAAATCCTCTTCTCTAGTGCGATTGGGCGAACATCATTGAACCCCGTTTCAGTTTTTTTTTTTTTTTTTTTTTGAGAGAGATAGAGAAAATTTTCCTAATTTTTTTGTTTACAATGTATCAAAAGTTAGCTATACAAGGCTAGATACTGTGTTTATATACTGTCAGAAGCAAAAAGAAAATTCTCTACTAACCTCTATGACTAACTTAACTAGCTCACTAACTAATTACTCAACTGACTTATATAATTAGTTACAATAGAGGCTTATGTGGAAGCTATGTAGGCAATCCATGCAAGCAAGATCTTCTATACTCCCCCTTAAAAGGAGTATGAATATCAGACATGTTCATCTTTCTCATAAGAAACTGAAAATGTGCAGGCTGTAAAGGCTTTGTAAACAAGTCTGCAAGAGTGAAACGTATTTTGAAAATTTTTTAAATTCAGCTCGCATGATATGCTCAGGAATAATGATATAATATTTATGTTGACTAATTTAATTGTAAAATATTTTATTAGAAATAAATATAAGAAAAAAAAATCTTGAGTATTAATTACAGGTGAAAACCGAATTATCGAATAAAAAACTGATATATTTCGAAATCGAACCAAAAAACCTAATAATAATTTAATTCAGTTTCGGTTATTTTTTTGAATAATTCAGTTAACTGAAAACCGGTTAAAAAATTTCGAAACCAAACTGAATTATCGAACGAATAACTCTACAACAAATAATAGCTATGGCCCTGCATTCTGCTCCAATAGAACTTCTAGCAACAATTGATTGTTTATTGGATTTCCGAGTAACAAGAGAATTTCCAAGAAAAATACAGTATCCTATTACAGATCTTCTAGTACCTTACAGCCTCCCTAATCACTGTCAGTATAGGCTAGCAACTGATTCTTAGATTGAGAAGAAAATAACAAACCCTTTCTAGGTGACAATTTCAAATATTTCAACACTCTAAAAACTGTTTTGTCGTCTCATGGAAAATTGGATTCTTGCTTACGTGGATGGCTGATTGACTGTGACATTTAAGGAAAACTCCTTGCTTGTGTTCAAAACCCAGATCTGCAAGTCAATAACCAAACAACTTCACAAGGCCCAGTGATAGCAACATATTGCACCATCAAATAGTTCCTGATAAAATTTTGACTTATTTATCCCAAGATTGTTTAGTGACCACGAGTAACCAATCGCGTTGGTTGAAATCTGATCATACATTTGAAACTTGCATCGCTTTTCAATGGTTGATTTAATGACACATCATCAATGACAATTAACAATCATTAGACACAAATGGCGTACTTGTGAATTTAGATAAGCCATTAACTAGTTACTTATACAGCAACTGCAAATCATCTTTCAGAAATTGAAATGGAACTATTTTGAGAGCTTAAGTCTACTAAATCAAATGCCCAAACTCTGATGAAATAACCCAACTCAAAACACGACACAAATTACACAAAACCAAAAATAAAAAATAAATAAATATAAAAAATAGCACAATATGAGCCAGTCCTTTCTTTTTCTCTTTTTTTTTCGAAAAAAGGAAAAAAAAAAAAAGAGAAAAGGAGTTGAGATTGAAAATGGCTGTTATCGGACACGAACAATTAAAAACGAGAGGGGGGAGGGAACTGTACTACTTCTCTGATAAGCATCTGTCATTGCGTTTCATGCCTACAAAGTATTTCAGTCTATGCCTATACTCTACAATATGTAACCTGTAAAACAAGCAGGTTCTCCAACTTCAACAAGACAGAAAAAATGAAAGAATCTCAACTCCTATACGCTTCTTCAGTAAATCTGTACAAAATCTACTCATCTACAAAACAAATGGAGAAAAATTTACAAGAAATGCTTAGCATGTATCAGTTACTCATCAAGATGTTGTATCTCACCCATCATAATGCGATTGCTAGAAACCTTGAAGCCAAGGAGAGCAGGGTCAATCTGCCTTCCTTTCTTCCCTTTCTTTTTACCACTTCGGCCGGCCAGGGAAGCATCAGATGATTCCAAAGCAGCTGCATTAGCTGCTTCAGCCTCGGTAAAAACTGGCTTCTTTAGCACATCCATAAATGACGTCTCTGTTATACCAGCATCATTGTATGATGAGGTCCTCCTAAAACGCACTTCTTTTCCAGATGCCTGATTATCAACTCCCCGGGTTGCTGCTACATTCTCTACAGGCTCGTTCCTCCTTCCTGAAAGTCACCAAAGTTTTTTTATTTTAAATCACCACCACAATTATCCAAAACCAACAAACAAAAGACAACACACCTGACACAATAATCACATACCGTCTGAAGTTGCAAGGCTTGCAGGATTGTTTTGCTTGATATGCAAAGCAGATGCCATGTCTGACAAAACATCCTGGGAAGATAAGGCCTGTGACACTGGTGGGCGTTTATACAAGGCACTGTCAAGCCCTCCAGTTAAAATAGATGGTATCCTGTCCACAGGCAGTTTTCATGAACATCAATATAAGTTTCACATTAAAATAGTACAACAATGCCTATATTTGTGAAGCAAGACCTTTCCAAATTTCCAATAGCTCCATGTCCAAAGACACAGATTTACTAAGGAAAACCCATAAAAGGTGGACACACACAAACACGGAAGTTGCTAATACAATTGAATCACAGCGCTCATATGCAAAATCAGTAAATTGTGAAATTCAAAACAACGTTAATGTCATTGTCGCAACAAGTGCAGAGGGTGTGGTGACTGCACCCCTTGAGATGATAAAGTTTTTACTTTACCAAAAACAATAAAAATAAAAATGTGATTTGGGGTGACAAAAATACCAGCACCAACTCACATTTCACTGTGAAGCAACTGCTTGAAGAGAAAAGGAAAGGTAATGCCAAAAAGTATCCTATGATTTGACCCATTTGCAGTCCAGTGGCCGTTTCAAAATTGGAAACTTCAATGATTTGTGGTTTCCTATGTTTGCTTTTACCTTTTTTCCCATCCGTTAAGTTACTAGAAATAGGCCCTAAATGATACAGAAGCTACTAAGACACAAGATGACATGACACCATGTTAATTTACATGCACAAGGAGACCCACAAAATCCAAAGCAATCAAGGTGCAAGTGTTGACCCAAATTCTTGCATCTTGTCTTAAGCATCTTAATAAAGAGAAATCATAAGAGCACCTACCTATCAAAGTGTAACCATGTACGTGCTCTGAAACCAAATTTTGTAGGAGACAATATTCAAATGGAGAATTAACATTATGATTAACAAGTGATGATGACGAGTTCAACCTCATTAAAACAATCCTATGCCACAACTCAGCAGAGAAACATTACCTGTCATTAGAAACCTCTTCACCAGTCGATTTATCTAATCCCATCTCATAGCCGTGAAGGCCTCCATTACCACCTGCAGAATTTCACAAAGCCTCTAATACCCATCCACGCATAAGAATGATATCTGACAAGGCATGTTAGAGAAATTACCTGCACTACTCAGTGAACTATGCCTGCTACTCTGCCTGCTATTGGCATTAACAAAATCCATAGCAGTTTCAGCTTGTTCAACAAAGTTTTCTTCAATGTGTGAAACAGACCTGGCCATGGCACTCATGCCTCTGGACCCATATCTGTTATCCAATTCCGCCAAGTCTTTATCCATGGTTGATTTAGCACCAAACCTGTTATCCACATGATTAACATGAGAAGTATCTACCATGCCTGACATGAATGCTGGTTCTTCACTTAGTGCTCCAGATTTAGACCTAAGGGACAGCCTTTCACCATTTCCTAGATGGTGTAATTGACCACTCAAGGCCACAAGAGGATTATCATGCAACAGAGGATTTGAATTCAAGTTTTGAGGCTTTTCCATAAATGAGTCATTTATGGCTACTTCTTGATCTGGAATATGATTTGAAGAGGATGACTCAGTGATTGGCCAGAAGGATTCCTGAGATTTAGAAGATGCAAGGTGCCGATAATCATCTTCTGATGACCGAATAGACTGAAGACCCATTTTTTGGTGAAGATCCATTAAAACTTGATTTGAGCTCTCCTCACCTCCTCGAGCTGATGTCCAAATACTATAGTTTCCAGCAACTTCTGAAACATTTCTTTTTCTTTCAGCTTCAAGATGCAACTGTTGCATCCCTCCTTCAATCCAACTATTCTCTTGCTGTCCTTGTTTTCCAGAGAGGTAGCTCTCAGTCATTTCAGCACGAGAAGCATGAATATCATCAAAAACTTGTCGGTGATGAGAAAGGACAGAAAAGGAACCCAGTTGATCAGCAGAATGCATATACAGATGTTCTGCTGGATCTGGACTCTGGGAAAGACTGTTTACATTATCCAACTTCATCCCAGGAGTGACAGCAGGAAGAGATGTCGGATGGTTAAAAGCCATAGAGCTAGGCTCATAAAACCCAGCTTGATGTGGCTCCTGTAAAGCATGATTCCATTTGATATGGCTTAAATGCTCATCATGTGAGGAAAGCCTCTGCTGTTGCAGGTGAAAATCTGAAGTGTTAAATCCTGTAGACTTAGACTGGTGACCAGTTGTATTTCTGACAGCCTGACCAACTTCATCAATGGACCATGGCCCAACAAATTGCCGTTCCCCATCCATTCCTAACTGCTGCCTTGCCAAAGATAACTCTTGTGCCTGCATCTGTTCTTGCTGAAGACGGAATTGCAGGTCTGAAGGGAGAATATTACCATGCTTCACATGTGATAAGACGTCTAAGATATTTGTCTGCGGTTCTTGAAGATTATTCTGGCCAATCTTTGCTCGAATCATCTGCTCCAGCGACAGATCAAGGTGCCTTGGATTATGTGAATTCTGCTGCAGTTCTGCCAGTCGTGTCCTAAATTGAATCTGATCAAGAAAGTTGTCTCTCACTGTATCTCCCTTTCCCTGCCCATAGCCAAGATCAGGCATCTGATGCTGCAGCAAATGTTCCAGAACCTGCTGCTGCTGCAATTTCATTTGGTACTGACGAAGCTGCTGTTGCTGAAGCTCAAACTGTCGCTGCTGCTGATGCTCCAATTGCCGCCGCTGTTGAAGCTCCAACTGCTGTTGATGTTGAAGCTCCAACTGCTGCTGACGTTGAAGCTCCAACTGCCACTGATGTTGGAATTCCAACTTTCGCTGCTGTTGTTGAAGCTCTAACTGATGTTGTTGTTGAACTTGTAGTTCAATAAGATGAGAAGGAATTTTCTCAAAACCCAGTTCCGTAGTATGAGAGAAGCGATGAGATAAATGATTCTGTTGTTGACAATCCTTTTCCAGTTTCTGCAACATGAGGCGCTGCTGGTCAAAATCATTAAACTCTGGATGCCTGTGGAATAAGTGTCGAGCATCTGCGGAACCTAGATCAATGTGGGGGTTAGCGATTGGCTTTTTCCTATAATCTTCAGGCCATGTCTCTGCATAACAGGATTGATCAGATACTTCATCCAAGGACCTATGACTGGCAAGAACAACATTACGCTCTGTATAAGGGTCCATACCATGACCCTGTGCTGGAAATTCATCACCCATGCTTGAAGCCATATTGGAGGATTGAGCACGCCTCAGATTAGAGTTGCTTCTGAGCTCAGACATCATCAAGCCAAATGGATGAACTATTTCATCATGATGAGTATGAATGCCAGTTTCTGAAAATTCATTTAAGATGGCAGGGTTGGTAGAAGAATTAGAAACGAAACTCTGATTGTCTGCAGCATCTCTCATCAAAGGGTTGTCAATGCTTTCAGGCCTTCCAGGAAAGACAATTTCTGTATCAAACAAAGATCAGGGCACTTAAATTAGCACAATGAATGCATACAGTGGCATGAACAGCAGAATCAGTCTAAGCAACTTACCTTCATCCGGAGCAACAACATTTTGGAATCTTTGATCATCAGAATACTCTGTCGCACAGAGAAAACCATGATCAGGAACTCTTGACTGACCATTAACACTAGAAATGGCCTCAAACCCAGATGAAGCCCACTGCTGGTCTTCCCTGACAACAGAGCCCTCAAATTCAAGAGAAGGAGGAGTCACTGTGCTCCCTTCCAAGCTTTCTCCGACAGCAGCAGATAGTTGTAACTTAGCAGGTGGACTAGTACTTGAAGAACAACAATGTTTAAGCTTTAGGTGAGGCATAATATCACCAAGCTCACGGAAAAGTGATCCATCAGGAGCATCCGACAAACGAACTGGTAGATCAGTTCCAAAATATCCTTGCTCAAACCATGCAATAATATCAATTCCAAGGTATGGTCCCTGAATTGTCCCTTGAGGATCCAGATAGCACAACGATAGCTCCTCTGGTGGGATAGCACTCCCAAATGGATGTAGCTCATTATAGCTATTCTTTGAAAACTGATGGCTGCTTGAGTTTTTCTGCGCAGAAGAAAAATCAAATAGCAAACTTGAATCATCAGGAAGCTGGCTCCCTATCTCAAAAGACGTAGCTGTCTCTGTATCCCCCAGCTTATGGATCTTCTGAAAAGCCACATCTGCCAGCGTCTGCTCAAAAGCTTTCAAATCCGCAATGTTGTCACTTGAACCACTCTCCCCAACACTGCTGGAGTAGTCTTTCTTGAAAACTGCAGGCACAAAGCCATCCGTCAACGCTCTACCAATTGTTGTTGTATGCTTCTGTTTATCATTTTCATGTGCATCTTTTTCTGAAATACATAACAGATGGAATGGTATTAATTCTGTGAATTAAAAGAAGTCAAAAACTTGATATTATGATTATTTACCTTCAGCCATTGATAGATCTAGCGTCTCAGCACCAGTAACTTGAGCAGGAGCATTAACAGTAATGTTTCCAAAAGAACCTGCAATTTCTTCAGTCTTAACACAGGAACTCTCATTCCCCTCACCAAATCCTGAATAAACAAAAAGGTGAGTTAGAAAGAACAGACAGAGCGATATGCAAAAGTCAGCAGAAAATGCAACCCTGATCACCTGCAGTATTATTATTTGATGAGTGATTCTTCTCTCTAAATGAGCATTTCAACCCTACACTGCTTGTAATTTTTCCCTGAGATATATCTCCAATGACAGCCTGCAAGAATCATATGATCCAATTTAAAGCAGTGAAAATAACTATAAGACATGTCTTTTATATGACATTATAATATATATATATATATACCTCTTCCTCTGCATCAGGTGCGACAAAAGCCAAAGGCTTAGTAGCAATTTCCTTTGTTATTGGAGATACGTGCTCCATCCCATCTGGTATGGCATCAAAATTTGGAAGAGTCATGTGTTTACGGTAAATGTCAAGAAGTTTTCCCCTAGGATAGCAGAATGTACGATTCTTATCCACAGGAATGGACCCAATAGAGGCAGCAGTAAGATGCCTCCCAATTTGTAAGTTTCCACTAGTGTTGGACCTTCCTCTTCCTGCAGCAAACCGCACATTCGGGCTATCCACACGTCCTCTATCTGACCCAAATCCAGGTGCACTCCGGTACGCAGCAGGTCCACCATAATGAACTTCCATACGATGGCGAGGCCTCCACTTATCGCGAGAATCATTTTCACGATCAGTGGTTGGGCGGCTAGCAGTGCCAAAATTTTGTTTGTCGCTGTGAGTCTCTTCCTTCTCAACATCTGCCCTCTTATCAGTTCGAGAATCCTTCTCTTTATCTTCAGGACCCCACCTAGATGACCACTTATTGTCTCTTCGGGATTCGAGCCCAGAATTGCGGTTATTGCTGTCATGCCAACGATCTGAAGATGACAAAGTTCTATTCTCAGAAATATCTCTAGTTGAAACAGAATCAGCACGATGGTCTTCTTTTCTACGATCTCTTCTACCTAGCAAACCCGTATCCCTCTCCTCCTCACGCCAACGGCGGCTGCTTTCAACCTCAGGAGCAATCCTTCTCCAATCTTTCTTGTCTTGGGATCCATCTAAACGCCAATTGTCTTTCAAATTGTTATCGTTGGAGTTTCCATGGGACAAAGAATTTGATGCACGTGTTTCCTGTTATTTTCAGGCACAAAGGTTAAAGGCAAAAAAAGAAAAAAGAAAAAGAAAAAAAACCTTAGTATTTAAACCTCAAGTCAAATATAAGCTCATCCTGCCACAAAACTAAGCAAATAGGTAGTAACTTAAAAGCAACAAGACTGCATTCTTTCTGACAGATGGAAAAAAAGGTCTTTCCCCTGTGAAGAGGTCAAGATGCTTCTATTAAATCTCCTTAGGTCCCCCATAAAGAGATCGATATGCTACTGTTAGATCTCCTTAGATTTAATTATTTGATAACTGCAGAACAGAGTTTGACCCAAACTGAAAGTATTTTAACATCTCCTAAGTATAATTTATTGTTAAAACCCATTTAACTTATAAATCCAACAAATTGCATCTCTACACCCTGCATGCAACTATGCTAGAATTTCTCGAGGACCCTAGCTAATTTACATTGTTCTAAACATCATAATATATAATCACACTAAAAGACATAAATTATCAGGAACAATAAGTAAGCCTGCAAAGCTTATCACCATCACATTACATCAAACTCTCAGGCAGGATCAAGTTATATTCAAAGTTGTAACAACAGAAATATCAAGCAAGCATGCATTATTAAACATCAGTGAACAAAAAATGAAAACAAAAAAGCATGTCACCATCATATAGGTAACCAAAAATTAATCAGTCAATGCGCATGTCCAACTCTAGGCAAGTCAAATACCATACCCCTGATGCTCCAGTAGTTAATGGCTTGGCATCCACCGATTTAGCATAAAGCCATTGTGGAGAAAGAGGTATGGAGTTGTCCGCAGTCATTTGATCTGTAACCAGCACGAACAATCAATATATTATAACAGAATCAAATTTATTAAATTCATGACAGAAACCTGCAAATAAGCATTCCTCGAATTGTTAAAAACCTTGAAATACAAAACAAACCACCTTTTGACTCATCAGGCAAACTCAACAGCGCCTTGTCCTCACCAATTCCTCCTCGATCTACCATTTCCAAAAAAAAAAAAAGCATCCATACGTATCATTTCCATTTATTTAAAACCAATGAATCCATATATATAGATATATATATATATATATATATATATATATATATAGAACATCAGTTATTAAGCTCAGTAATCTATCACCATTCGGCACGAAAAATACACAGAAAAATAAATTAACATCAAAGTCTTGTAACTTTAGCAGTTATGCAACTAGCATTCAAATGAATCAGATAAAATTGTTGCAAAACTAAAAAGTAGCAAGACCGCAAACATAATAGTCAAAACCCTAAAGTTGGAACCGGAACGGAAGTATAGATACCAATAAAGATTCATAAAAAAAAAAAACAGATCCATTGAATAAAAGCAGAATAAAACAATGAAAAATCGAAATTAGAACCTTTGAAGGAGGAGAGGCGTTCATCGGTTGACTTGGAAGAGAGAAGGAGATCGTCAGGGAGATTGAGCTTTCCATCAGTCATCGTCGTTATCTAACACCAACAAAAATTGCACAAATTCGGTATGCACAGAGTATCAATACAAAGAGAGAAGAAGAAGAAAGATATGAAAAGAAACCGATAAAGCAGATTGCTATTGGGAGAGTAGAGATTGTAGAGAGAGATGGAGATTGCTAGGGTTTGGGAATTTGCAGAGAGAAGGAGAGGAGTAACTGGTAAGGGTTTGTGTGTTCAGTGTGTATTGATCGAAACAACCAAACAGTGCAAGGAAAAAAGAAAAGTGTGTTTGATTTTTCGTTTTTTTATATATGTAAGTGTATTTTTAAGACAAAAATTACTACTAGCCTTTTGTTCCTTCTTTCTTTCAATTTTTTAAAAAAAAAAGAAGAAGAAGATTACTGTTCTATTTTTACTTATTTGGAATGTTTTGAAGCTATTAATTTAATTCTTTCGATATTAGGAAATTCGAATAGTTTTATTTTTTATAAAAAAGAAGGAAATGGTTTGTGTGTGTGTATATATATTTCCTGAGAAAGGAACAACCAATTGAATTCCTTCTTTCTCCCAACTCATACAAATTAGCGTCTTGCCTTCTTCATTTTATTTTTATTTTTATTTTATTTTACAAATTTTCAAAATTCTGAAAAAAATTCAAAAGAAATCAAAAGGAGAAATTGGATTCTTTTTTTTCCAGGTAATGCTAATTTTTCAAACCTGCAAATTATTTTTTTAAAAAAATTCTTTCAAGAAAAAGAGAGGCTATGAATAAGTGGGTTGATTTTCATTATTTTTAGATGAATTAAAAGGGGAACAATATTGAAAATAATTATAAAAGAAGTGGGGGTCGAAGTAGAAATATATATAAAAAAAAGAGGAAATAAAAGGAAATAGGGGTCAGATTGGTAAAAATTAGAAGAACATGAAGCAAAAGGCATGAATCAAATGACTAAATTGAGAGGAAAAAGGAAAGAAAAGGTATGTAAAAATAGGGATCAATTTAGACTTTTGTTTCTACCCAAATTCAAATTCTTGCGTTTTGTTCATTACCTTCCTCCCATTCTAGAGTTTTTTTTACGTAACAAATCACTTTTAAATCTTATTCATTATAATATAATAGTTTTAACCTTATTTATTAAAATAAAAATTTTTATATCACATAATAATCATCTTATTTATATAACTTGATATGTTATTTTTTAAAATTATTTTATTAAATAAATGTTTTATCCTTATATGTTAATTTTTTATTATTTTTTTTTTATATATATTAGTATGTTTTTCTTCTTCTTCTTCTTCTTTTCTTATCTCTTTTTTTTTTTAATCTATATCATTAATTTTCTTATTGCTCAATGATCCCTTCTAGCATTTTAAATACAACCACAAACAAACAGTAGATACGAAGATCAATACCAGGGTTATTATTTTTCTCTCCCAATGCAACTTGACATCATAATCCTGATTATTAATTATTCAACTACCAAACAGAAAACTAACACCATCACAACCAGACACAAAAATCCATGGCCATGGCCTCCACTTCTTCATCGTCACTTCCAATCTCTCTCTCCACACCTTGTCATGAGTCATCCAATAAAACCCAAAAAAGTTTCCATCTTTAAAATCTCACCACTACCAAGCCCATCTCTTAAAACCCCATCAATTCGCTCTCGCTTAAGCAAACTTTGTCAAGAAGGGCAACTTCTTATCGCACTCCAACGGTTTGACACACTTCCCCGCCCAACAACTGTCATTTGTAACTCCATCATAATTGGCTTCATTTGCAATAACTTGCCTTTTGAAGCCATTTTGTTCTATTCCAAGCTAAAAAGTTGCAGTCTTGGAACCAATTTTGATTCATATACTTACTCTTCTACACTCAAAGCTTGCGCGAAAACGCGCAGTTTAAAGATTGGTAAAGCCATTCATTGCCATCTTATTCGGTGTTTACCAAATCCTAGTAGAATTGTGTATAATTCCCTTTTGAATATGTTCTCTAGTTGTTTAAGCAATGTGAGTTATTTTGATTACTTTAAGGATGATTTAGTGCATAAAGTTTTCGATGCGATGAGAAAGAGAGATGTTGTTGCTTGGAATACTGTGATTTCTTGGTATGTAAAGACAGAAAGACATGTAGAAGCAATTAAGCTATTTAGGATGATGATGAAAACGGGGATAAAACCGAGTCCAGTCAGTTTTTTCAACGTTTTTCCTGCTTTTTTGAGCGTAGGAGATTTTAAGAATGCTAATGTTCTTTATGGGATGCTTGTGAAAATCGGTAGTAAATATTTGAATGACTTATTTATTGTGAGTTCGGCAATATTCATGTTTGCAGAGCTTGGACGTGTTGATTTTGCTAGGAAGGTTTTTGACCATTGTGTAGAGGAGAATACGAAAATCTGGAACACTATGATTGGTGGATATGTACAGAATAATTGTTTGGTTGAGGGTATTGATCTTTTTGTTCAAGCTGTGAAAACAGAACAAACTGTTTTAGATGATGTAATCTTTCTCTCAGCATTAACAGCTATCTCACTGTTGCAATGTCTAGACTTGGCTCAGCAGCTGCATGCCTTTGTAATTAAGAATCTAGCAGTATTACCGAGGATTATGCTGAATGCGATCATTTTCTTGTACTCAAGGTGTAATTCTGTCCACACATCATTGAAGTTTCCGAGAAGATGGTGGAAAGAGATGTTGTATCATGGAATACCATGATTTCTGCTTTTGTACAGAATGGAATGGATGATGAGGTGTTGATGCTTGTATATGAGATGCAGAATCAAGGGTTTGCAATTGATTCTGTGACAGTAACTGCTCTACTTTTTGCAGCATCTAATCTTAGAAACCAAGAAATTAGAAAGCAGACCCATGCTTATCTTCTTAGGCATGGGATACACTTTGAAGGAATGGGCGGTTATCTTATAGACATGTATGCAAAATGTGGCTTGATTAGACCTTCACAGCAAATTTTTGAGAGAGGCAATGTGAAAAATAGAGATCAAGCCACCTAGAATGCTATGATCACTGGGTACACACTACACACAGCATGGGCTAGTAGAAGAAGCTTTTGTTACCTTTAGACAAATGCTTGAGAAAAATGTAATGCCCAATGCTGTAGCCTTAGCATCCATTCTCCCTACTTGTAATCCTGTGGGAAGTATAGATTTGGGAAAGCAGCTCCATGGAGTCTCCATTGGGCTATTGTTAAACACAAATATCTTTGTCCATGTACTCTAAATCAGGCGCAATCAATTATGCTGAAAGCGTGTTTACCAAATTACCGAAGAAAAAATCTGCTACCTACACAACAATGATATTGGGTTGTGGTCAACATGGGATGGGCGAAAGAGCTCTCTCCCTGTTTCATTCAATGCAGAAATCTGGGATTGAACCTGATGCCATTACTTTCGTTGCTATCTTGTCAGCTTGCAATCATTCAGGGTTGGTTCATGAAGGTCTTCAAATATTTAAGTCAGTAGAGAAGGATTTTAAGATTTAACCCTCAACTCTGCACCATTGTTGCGTTGCTGACATGTTAGGGAGAGTTGATGGGGGTGGTTGAAGCTTATGATTTTGTTAAACAATTAGGTGAAGCTGGCAATGTGTTGGAAATTTGGGGATCACCAGAATCTATCTTTATTATCTGTAAATAAATTTGTATTAGAAAACCAAGTCTCTAGTCTTTCTATAATGATCTTTCCTGTGATCAAAATATGAGTTATCTGCTTTTGATCCATTCATCAACGTCTTTTGTAGGATTTGCATTACAATGATAATTCAATATAACACAAGCTTCTATAGGTTGAGACCATTTTAACCAAACCATGCAGGAAATCATTTATGCAAAGCATCTGCATTCTGGAACAGTAATGGCCATTAGATAATAAATTCAAAATGTTCACAAGTTAAAGACAGACATTCCATTTTTCTTTTTCCTTTTTTCTTTTTCAGAATCTAGATAGTGAAGGTCTCATGAATTCTTGTCGCATTGTTCATTGTTGTTCAGACTTTGATTCTGATAGATCAAGTGCAATTGTCTGTTAGAAAAATTGCAATCTCCCTGTACTTTCAAGACTAAAAAACAAGCTCCTGACTTGAACCTCAATCTTCTCTTATTATCACTTTAACCCCTTGTTTGGATAATTCCTCTTGGGAGGAAAGAAAAGGGAGGAAAGAAAGTAAGAAAAAAGAAAAGAGAGAGGAAAAAAAATTATTTTCCACTTGTTGTTTGGATAAGTGTGGAAAGGAAAGGAAAGAAAATACATTTCTCTTGTTTGGATAATTGTAAAAAGAAGAAGGAAAGAAAATATATTATTATATATTTACTATAATACCCATGTGATTATATTTCTATATTTAAATACTTATAATAAATTTGTATTAATATTTTTTTCATGAAAATAGCACAAATGATAATAAAATAAAAATCTAGCATGTTGCATCTATCCGAAATGATAAAATGGATAATGAATCGTCTCCATAGAATAATCGATAACTCGTTTATTAATTAATTAATTCAATAGCCAATTTAGATTAATTATCAATATAAAATTAATTTAAATATATATAATATGTATTATTATCTATGCATATAATAAGTTATTCGCTTTTACCCATTATTTTTTCAGCTTAGGAATACCTCCATTGTTACTCATAAAAAGCAAACTCTTTTTAAGTCAAAGCCATCATTCGTGGCATTTCATCATTTGGGGGCTCTTCATGTTCTTTCATCATCTACCGCAACTAGAGCTTCTTCAAATGGGTTTTTCGATACTACCCAAGACAAAGAGATTTTGTCGTCCTCCGAACCAAAGCTTGTCAAATTTCTCTTTTGGGTCGCGTTTTGGGCGTCTCTTTCTCTTGTTTGGTTTGCGAGCTTCTAGGGATGTTACTCGTAGCTATTAATTCCATGAAAGCCTCCGACTTTGGTTTAAAGATTGCTACCGCACTTCGTAGATCGGGCCGACTCGATGAAGTTGTGTTCTTTGCTCTTCTTACGGTTCTTGTGCTTCGAGCTCCATGGGGCTATTCCCGTTGGTTATCGGATGTAACTCAACCCTATGATGCTCACTTTCTTATATGTTATTGGGTAAGTTTGGTTTTGATTTTTTTTCCCCTCATGATCATCATTATGGATGCTCTGGTAGATAGAGATATTTTCATGAATTTAAAAGTCGTGGGTGCTTCATTACTCGTGAAAAAAAAATTGTGTCGCTCTCGCTTTCTACACTCACCTTAAACCCATTTGAAAGGATAATTCCGTTGAACATATAATTAAAGCTAAATTAATTGAATTTCATGGATAATTAATCTCTTTCGATGATTTGTGTTTCTTTCCATTAAGTTTGGTCGAAGAAATTCGTAGTTTATGTATAGGTGATTAATTATGCGAATGGGTGCAAACTTGATTTTTGCGGATCTATTATTAATGAGAGATGATGGCGGAGAAATGGCTTCGGCGAGAGAGAGAGATGGTTTTACAGAGAAGGGAATGGTTAAGGCAAGGGCAAAGCCGTGAAAACAAAAAAAAATTCATCCCTCCCGTTTTTCTCCCCGTTTCCTCCCAATTTTGGGAGGAAAATGGGTCCCACCATTTTTACATTCTTTATTATTATTTTTTTCTTTCCTCCGGTTTCCTCTACAATCCAAACGAGAGAAAAAGTTTCATTTTCATCCCATTTTCTTTCCTCTCCCCCGCTTTCATCCCTATCCAAACAGGGGGTAAACAAGAATTTTTACAAGTCTACATCTACAAACCATCTCACCGTAGGGTGCAAACACCTTTTTCCTTAACTCGTACAATTACAAAGTTTACAAACTACGCGTAGAGAATTTTATGGCAAATTTGGCTCTAAAACAAGCAATCAATTTTATTGAATTGAATGCAAAGTAAATTAATTAAAGCTTGATGATCGACTCCACCTATCTTCAAAATATTCCTCAATGAGAGATTATTTCTATGCTCCAAACTATTAAATGATGTGGAATCATCATCAACATCAAGCAAGACTTAAATGTAACTCCGTACTAGAGTTTGGATAAACTTCATCATCATTATCCATCCGAAAGAAGAATGTTTGAAGACTTGACATCTCTATGAATAATAGGCCGAAAACATTCGTTGTGACGAAGGCACATGTCATATGGATTTGCAAAACATGAATAAATCATGTACAACTCATGGCTTAGTACTTCCAGATCGAGAAAAAGATTTCTATACGTCTTTTCGATCGAAAAAAAAATTATCAAAATTAAAAAATATAAAATAAGAGAATTTAGAAAAATGCCTTAATTGACAATAGACATAAGTTAAAGAACTTTTTTAGTAACTATGGTTTTGAATTGTGAGAGTATTTTAACTTTAAGAAATTACGACAAAGACAACAAAAGAGAGACAGAGAGCCTAAGTTAATTTTTTCTTTTATATTTCTAATTTTTTAAATTATTATATTAAATATATACGATAACACTTAAATAAAAAGATGACATTGATGCCTATATGAAAAAACTATCTCTTTTTTTATAAATAAGATTTAAAATACCTTATTTAAAGAATAGATTAAAAAATACCCTATTTAGGGAAAACAAATCTCCAATTCTACCTCTTGTAAAAAACTTGATAGCCCCTAAAATGCTCTCCCAACTGACTATCTTGTACCTCATTTATCCCTCTATACTAGATCACCAAAATTACCAAGTATCTTCTCGCCTTTCTCCTTCATCCACGCTCCAAAAGTTGCTGGCTCAAAACAAGAACAAAAGGAGATGATGCCTTTTCTAGTAAAAAAAAAAAACTAGAGATTAAGCCTCTCTAACTGTTCGAATTTAAGAGATAGGATGATTCAACTAAGAATCAAGGATTGAGAGAAAAAAGAGAAAATATATGAACTAAAATTGTGTGATCGAGAGAAAAGAGAGGTCGGAAGTTTAAAAAAAATGAAGGAAATAGAGAGCAAAAACATAGAGAGAAGAGAATTTTTGAAAAGAAAAATACGAAAAACCAAACCCGAGAGGGAAGAAAAATAGAAAAGAAACAGAGTGAAAAGAAAGGGAGAGAAGTTTAGGAAGAGCAAGTCGTCAAACACGTAAATTTACTTGTTTTATTTGGTATCTCCATATTAGTTTCTATTTTCATCTTCTTTATCCTTAGTACAAGTATGTTCCTCTTCGTTTCTTACGTTTTCTCTCTATCTTTAAGTCGCTCTATTAGCCTTCTTCGTTATTGTCCATATTGTGCATAGTTCCTCTAGATTAAGTGTTGTGACGTTGCAATGCATATAGAATCTCTTTCGCATGCTTTCCTTCTCTAACGAGACTAGACTCTTAGTTAAAGATATTTAGGTATCGTTTGGTTATCGTGAATGAAAGGTCCGAAATGAAAATGCAAAAATCGAAATGACATTTGTATTTTCATACTATGTTTGAAATACTAAAGAGGAGTCGAAATGCAATTTAAATTTTTTAATATTTGATTTTTTATACAAATGAAAATAATGATTAAAAAAATAATTTTATCAAACTATAATAGTTATAAAAATAATAAAGGTGATAACAAGTGGTAGTGGTTATGACAGATGGCGGTTTTAGTGGTGGTAATAGTGGTTGCTGTGGTGGTGGTAGTGATGATTCTAGTGGTGGTAATAGTGGTTGCGGTGGTTGTGGCGGTAGTGGCGGCGATGATTGTGGTGTTCTTGGTTTTCATTCTTGCTTTTAGGAGTAGAGCCTCAATAGGTTGGCTTAGGCTTTAGTTTTGAAATTCTTTTTGTAAGTAATTTTGCAGCACCAAACATCCATTACAAAAAAATCGAAAAATAGCGACGATTTTTCCAATTGCTATATAGTAGAAATCATGTTGCTATTTGTATTTAGCTATGGATTTACGACAACGGACTTTATGTAGCAAAAATCATCATAGTTGTTTTCTTTGCGATGAAAAAAAATTTCTATCGCTAATGTGTAGAATTTCCGTCACTAAAGCGTAGTAAATAGTTATCTCTCCACTCTCGTATTTATCACAAAACCGTCATCACTAAATTGTTTTCGTTAAAGTTCTTCGTAGATTCATCACTAAATCCATCTCTATTTAGCGACCATTGTAGCTTCGTCACTAAAGCATAGTAAACATCGTGTCTCCTATCTCTTATTTGTCACAAGATCGTCGCTAATTCATCGTTGTCATCGTTATTTAGCAATAGGAATTTTGTCGCTAAATTGTTCTATCTAGACTTTATCGTAGATTTGTTGTTAAACAAAGAATTTTTTTAATATAAATTAATAATCGTTTAATGTTAATGGTAGTAATAAATAACTAAAAATAATACCTTATTAAAATATGATATATTATTTAATAAAATTAAAATAATATAAATTGAAATCAAATAAACATGTAAATACGTTAAGGTGCACGAAAACATTAAAAACCTTAAAAAAAAAAAAAGAAATCTAGCCCTCATCGTCTCTTATATCATCTTCCGATTGTTGTGTGTTAAGAGGAATGACTAACTTCTAGGTGGTGAGGGATCGGTAGGAGGGACACGAGTCCGTCGTAAGTCCCATAACAACCTAATCAATGTCCGCAACTAACTTTGTATGGTGTTAACTTGATCGACCTATTGTTGGACGCCGATTTCCATCCTCTTGATCTAATCTTTGTACTCGTCAAAAACATTTTAGTTATTACCATCGGGATATCACGAAGTTGCAGAGGAGGAGTTGGCACTAAAATGGGAGTAATACTAGAATGCTTGTAATATGAGGTCGTACACTCTTTACTTTTTCTCTCTATAGCATCCGAATATATCTTAAAACTATTGATGTTTGGAGAATCACCCTCTTACTTCTTGCATTAACCGCATGCTCTCTTGCATCATTAAAATAATTATAATATTAAATTATAAATATATATTTTTTATTATATTGATAGATATACATTTATATAAAAAATTACGATTATTGTCTAGGACTACCTATCGACTAATGACTCATCTTTTCGCTTGTGAGTAGTGGCGAACAACTTGTAAAAGGTTACGACCCAATTTATTATGCTAAAAAAATATATAAAATAATATGAGATGTAATAAATGTAAAAATTACTTTATAACACAATGAATAATAAGATTTATCAAACATTCAATGTGTTCAATCAAAAGAGATGGAACCCTCATATGTTTTGATGGGCCAGCACCGACACCACCTATCTCCAACATGCAGCTTTTAGGACGCCTACTAAGATTGAGCTTAAAACTCGGGTGTGGCCCAATCCTAGTGCCATGCTTCCCACTTTTGTTGTTTAACATACGTGAATCCGTCATTCTTATTCTTCAATTTGTTCAGCATGTCGTCGTACCGCTTTCATGCTAGACTCTCTCATGCATCCTTAATAAATATGTCGACGACCACATCCTATAAAAAGTACTTCTACATGAACAAAAAAAGATATATTAGTACGAGTTCACATTAAATTAATAATTTAAATGAAATATAAGTAAATAATTAATATATTACCTTAAACTCATCAAAGTAGAAGTCTTTCATCTCCATCGAGACAGAGACTTTCATATGAATCCAACAACATCCAATCGCTCCTTAAAAATTACGATGATTTTTGTAAAGCATTTACTTGACAAAACCAAGTCGTCAAACAAAATAAATAAATAATATATTATTTCAAATTTTTATAATTTTTTAATTAAAATTTTGTATTTAATTAATTTTTATGTTTTTATAAATTTTGTGTTTAAAAAAATATGATTCATTCCTTTTTATGCATTGATTTTTAAATAAAAACTTATATTAATGAAGAATTAAAAAAATATTTCGGAGGATTGCATCCAAAAAATAAAGCTATTATTAATATACGAGACTTGTATAGAAATTAAAAAATAACAAATAAATTTTTATTCTTGTTTAATTCGATAAGAAAATATTATTTAAAATATATGTATTTTATTTACATATATTATTAACAAAATAATCAATAATGTTAGCATACAAATTGTATTTGAATTATTGGGTGATTCTTTAAAAAAAATTACTTATTTTATTTCAAAAAAATGGTTCTATAATATTAAAAAAAATATTCATATCAAATAGTTGGTTTTATGTGTGTAGATGCATGATCATTATTTAATAAAATCGATGATTCAAATTTTTTTTTTTTTTTACCATCATGACCTTACTTTTAATCTTTTAGATTAAAATATATAATGACATTACAATTTAAAAATCTAAGAATTCATGATATATATTATATCAATTTACCTATATAAAAAAATCATGTTTTAAAATTTTATTCTAAAATTTGAATACAAAGAAAAATTAATTATATTTATTAGTAAATAAAATTTTATAAAAAATAAAAATTAATTGGATGAGAATTTTCATAAGAAATAATTCAAAGAACAAATTTTAAATAATAAGAGTAATATAATTTGAAATATATCTTAATTTTAAATATAAAAAGATATTAAATATATTTTTTCCTCGCAAAGTCGGTGAAAACACAAATAATAATGCTTGGATGTACAATAATTTTTGCTTAAAAATTCTTAGTTAAAAAATTCAAAAAAAGTCACAAGCTCGAGCTCCTAGGCCTCGAGGACCACACCCGTACGGCTAGGCTCGAAGCCCTAAACTTGCATTGGCCGGGATTAAAAAAAATGGTTGTTTTGATTTTTTTTCAATGACTTTTACAATTTACGAGTAAAACGATTTCATTGAAAACTCACCAAAAAGTAGGATTTTATAATTTTTAGCATCTCAAAACTAAATTGAGATCTATTTTTTGTTCAAAAACACCTCAAAATCACCAAAAAAAAAAAAAAAGCATAAACAAACTTATTTAGAGCCTTAAAACTCATTATAATGAAACAAAAAATACAAAAAATCAAATCAAAATAATTAAAAAGAACTCAAAGTATTTTTATATTTCGACCTACCTCCTCCAACCATTTCATTATTTGTGACCACTGCAAACGGATTCTACTCTACGAGACAAATAAATTAATGGTAAGTTCAACCGTCACGGTGGCCGAAATAAAGTTTGCTACCCCCTCAACATACAAGGATTAAAATACAAGATAAATGAAGTGCAAGATCGAAACAAAAGTTAAAAAAAAATGAAAAACTAAAATACAATTTTTTTGGCAAACTTAGTTGTAAGCAAGGAAATGCACGAGTACAAAATGAGAGTGGGTGAACAATGTGAATGGGTGTGTGTGAATTGTGAAAGGAATAGTAAACTCGATTATTTTGTTTTAGTTTTATACTAGATTCTTCACCTACGCTACGCTGCGAGTTGGATAAAATATATAAAATCATTTAAAAAAATTATTTTAGTTTAATAATCTATTTTATGGTAAAAAAATAATTAAAATTTTTTAATCAATATTTTTTTATTTAAATATTTCTTATTTGTGTTTTTAAATTTTAGAAATAAATAATAAAGGAAATAAATTGTTGATTTCTTTAAAATTTTAACACCCAATTAATTGTTGGTTCATTTAAAATTTTAACACCCGACATTATTAAGAAACGAAAATTAAGAAAAAAAGTTCAATATTTGGAAAAAAAGGAAGGGGGAGGGAGTCGTTTCTTGTTCATGTGAATAATAAATGGACTAATATTTTTTTAAAAAATTCAATGTTTAGAAAAAAAAAGAAGGGGGAAGACGTTTAATGTTCAAATGAACAGTAGAACGGGAAAGAAAGGGGGAAGAAGGCCGTAGTCGGCCAAACAAAAAAAAAAAAGGAAATTTTTTTTAAAAAAACAAAGAACCATAGCAATGAATAGTGATTAACACTATTCATTGTTATAGTGAAAAATGATTTTCCTTTAGCATATAGTATAATTAGTTTTTTTTTATCCGCACGGCATTGCGAGTTAGATAGAACATATAAAATTATTTTAAAAAAATTAATTCGGTTTGATGTCTTGTATTATATTATGCGTCTTTCAAAATATATCAAATCAAAACTAAATAAAAATTCATTCAATTTTATAATTTTTTAATCAAAATTTTCTATTTGACTATTATTTTTTATATTTTTCATAAATTTTTTATTAAAAAATTATTTATTTATCTCTATCCACCTTTTTAACCAAAAAATTTATAACAATGTAAGAAAAAAATTATCAAAATAAATGGATTCTTAGTTAAAGAACTTTATTTTGTAAATTATTTTTTAAAAAACTTTTTTGCCTTAAAATTTTTAATTAAAAAATCAAAGAAAAAAAAAATCAAGGGCCAAAGTGACCAAAATTAAAAAAAAAAAGAAAGAAATGAACCAAAAAAAATTACAAAACGAAGAAACAATGTTTTTTTTAAAAAACCAAAATGTAATGCTAAAAAAACTTTCATAATAAATACCTTTCGAAAGTTTAAAAACTACAAAAAATATCATTACATAGTAAAAAAAATAAAAACAAGTGCATATGAGTGTGAAATGAGTCTAGGTGAATTGTTATTAGAATAGTACTAGTGAATGATAAGTCAACATTTTGCATGAGTTTTTTTTTTTTTTTCGTTAACTAATTGGTTTCCAATGCTATACAATAGGGCAAACTAACGTGTTTATTTAAATTCAATAGGTTGCGGTATAGTATCGGTCAATTAAAATATATTAAATTAAAAGTAAAAGATAATACTTCATCTAATTTGATAATATTTAATCAAAATTTCGTATTTCATTTATTCTTTTTATGTTTTCATAAATTTTATTGTTAAAAAAAAAAAACACAATTCATTCTTTGTGATGCATTCATTCTTAAATAAAAACCTATAATAATATAAATAAAAAATTTAATATACGTTTTAAAAAATAACTTAATATTTTCTCATAAGATTGCATCGAATAAATAAAGCAACAATCAATAAACAAATTAACTAACAAATCTTTTTTTTTTTTTGAAAATAAGTACATTTGATATATATATATTACAACAAAAGTAATAATATTAGTATAGAAAGATGTATTTGAATCATTAAATGGTTCTTCAAAAATATTATTTTAATCATTTTATTTAAAAAATATTTTAAAATATTAAAAAAATTAATAGCAAATGGTTGGTATTATGTATATAGATGCATAATTAATTTCTAATAAAATCAATTATCTCAATTTTTTTTAATACTTCATAATCATACTCAACAGGGTAGAGTATGCAATATAAATTAAATAATATTTTTTAAGAAAATAAAGTTGTAACGAATATATTGAAGTTAACAGAGTGCAATAAAAACAACTAAAAAAATATTTCGATAAAGTTTAATTATATCTAGAAGTAGCAAATAAAACATGTGAATTTTATTATTTAATTAATTTTTTATTTAAAAAATTTATTCAAAAACTATACATAGAGAAAAACAAATCATATTTATTAACAAATAAAATTACATAAAAAATAAAAAATCAATTTGATGAGATTTTTTTATTAAAAATGACAAATTGAAAAAATTAATTTTAATTAATAAATATAATATAAGTTGATATATATATATATATATATATATTGATTTTAAAATCTGAAAACACGATAAGTTAAAAATATCTTTTAAGAACATGAGAATTCAAAATATATTTTGAAAAATGAGAGATTAAAATAGAATAAAATGAAAGCATGATGTGCTAAAATATTGTTTAAAACATTAGAGACCACAAAAATCTTATAAACACCAAGGATCAAAATAAAATATAATATAAAATTTATATATGGATGCGAAAAAACAATAAAAAATACTGAAAAACACAGTAAAATTAGCAAAACTAATTACTAATAATATAATATAATAATAGTATTAATAAGTATCCCTCTCCAGCAGCCAAAAAAAGAATCCAAACCGGTGAAAACGACGTGGAGAAAGCACTGAATTACGGCACAGCCCGACCCAACAACAATCCTTTGTTTGCTGCACTCTGAAGCTTACTGCACCTCCCATTCCAAAGTTTGAAGAAATTCATCACACCAGCACAGAGCTGCCCTGTCATGGACAGTAGAAACGTCGTCGTTTGCGACAATGGCACCGGGGTATCACCCCTCTCTTGTTCTCGATCCAAAAGTTTGGATCTCAGATTTTACCTTTTGTGCTTGCTTCTTGTTTGATTTAATCTAATGCTGTAATTTTCCATAATTTGCATTTCATGTATGCTTAGTACGCTAATTTCTCACAGTTGTCTAATTAATTAAAAATGTGCGAGTCTTTTGAATCGCTATCGGCTTCGATTTGGTTTTTGAGAATTGCATTTCCTTTTATGCAGATTTTAATGATTGTCTTGTAATTTGGAAGCGTAATTCGGGAGAAGAACGTGTAGAACAGCATGATCAATTGTTTTGTTTTTGTTGATATATATATATTTGGTTAACTTGTTAACAATTTTTGTAATTTGTGATTGATTGATTCCCCCCCCCCCCCCCTCCCAGCTTTTACATTTTTCAAAAGGAAAAAATTTAGGTCCATGATGATTATGGATTTTCGCCCAAAACAAAATGGATTTTGGTTTAGAAATGAGCTACATATATTTACCATTGACTCCTTTTTGGGATGGATTGGTTTCTTGATTGTTGATAAGTAGAGTTATTTATTGCAGTATGTCAAGTGTGGATTTGCTGGAGAGAATTTTCCAACTTCTGTATTTCCATGTATTGTTGGAAGACCGATGCTACGCTATGAGGAATCTCTTATGGAACAACAATTGAAGGTAAACATCTTAAATCTAATGTCATTATTACTCTTATTATGATATATTTGCATTTCTTGTGTGCAAGTTAATGTTTTGCTTTTATTTAGTTTTGGGATGCAACTCCTTTTCTTTTCTGATTGAATTAGGATATCGTTGTTGGAGAGGCTTGTGCGGACTTGAGGCATCAGTTAGATATATCCTATCCTGTTAACAATGGAATCATTCAGAACTGGGATGATATGGGGCATGTATGGGACCATGCTTTTTACAATGAACTTAAAGTATGCATTCGTTGCCTTTTGTTTTGCCCTCCATAATTATGTTTAAGTTTTTCTCAACTGTATTTAGTGTAATTTCATTGGATCATAGCTAGCTTTTATGTTCTCCTTCAACAGATAGATCCTACAGAATGTAAGATTTTACTCACAGACCCGCCTCTCAATCCTTCAAAAAATCGCGAAAAAATGGTTTGTTATCCAATTCTTTTTGGTAATGTTCTCTATCATTGGTGTTATTTTCAGTTAATCTATAAGGTGGTGTTTTGGTTTCACTTGATAATGCAGGTCGAGACAATGTTTGAGAAATACAATTTTTCTGGGGTCTTCATTCAAATCCAAGCTGTTTTAACATTGTATGCCCAAGGTGCTTGTGGAGATGATTGAAGGTTTAAGTTTTATTGATTGACATATTTCTTTCGTAGTGATGTGAGTAGAGTTTTGGAGAACTTACTTTTCAATGCCTTAAAAACTACTTATGCTACTGTTTTTTGAAGAATACTCCATGTCGTTGTTATTTCTATTGTTACCGATCAACTACACCCCCCGCCCACAGACACACACACACACACACACACACACACACACTTGTTTCTTTTCCCTTGTCTTTGGATATTTGCTTCAGCATCATATTGAATTCTCGCAGGTTTACTGACTGGATTAGTTATTGATTCTGGTGATGGTGTCACTCATGTGGTAAATTACTTGAGATCCATTCTTACACTAGATTTCACTAATATTGCTTTCCGATTGCTTTCTTTCTTTTATTAGTTTCACTCGCAATGAACTAATATCGAATCATTCGCCACAATTATATAGTATCTGATTTTCATTTACTTTTTCGTATCTTCCTCGAAAACTTAATGTTAATTCACAGAGTCTGGTTTGCTAATTTTTTATGATTGTATTATAAATGATGTCCTTGTCACATAAAAGCAATGGAACCATCACTGTTTAGGATGCCAGATTCTCAATGCTCTATGCAATTTGTGGTAATGATTAATTAATCTAGGAGTAAAAGCTATGGCTTGTTCATCTAACTGGAAGTATCCAAAAGTATGATACTTGGCCTCTCTCTCCAGGTTCCTGTTGTTGATGGCTATTCATTCCCTCATCTCACTAAGCGGATGAACGTAGCTGGTCGGCACATTACATCTTATCTTGTTGATTTACTTTCACGGAGAGGGTGAGGGCCAAAATTCTTGTTAAATAAATTGTATGATGACTATGATCGCTTCTACTCTTGTTCACTAAATGATACGATTAGTTAACTGGAATGTCCTACTCTATTTCTGTAGATATTCAATGAATAGAACTGCTGATTTTGAGACTGTCAGGGAAATCAAAGAAAAACTCTGCTATATAAGGTGAAGCTACAATGTTATGCTGTAGATGGGTTATTGCATTGCGATTTAATACTAAATATATTATCTACAGTTATGATTACAAGAGGGAGTATCAACTGGGACTTGAGACCACCATACTGGTTAAGAACTATACAGTAAGTTGAATCTTATGATCATCTTTTGTTTCTGAATGAGTGGCGCATCTATATACTCTTAGGAACAGCTTTATTGAACGAGAGCAGGTAGGGTCTGCATAGGCGCTGTTCATCTTTTAGCTGCCTTCTTATTGTATCTACTTTGTCATTGTTTGTGTTTCATGTTCTATTTGGTTCTATGCTTTTCTTCTCGTTTGATTGTATATATGTGTCATCGCTTGCATCACATGCATTAATAGCTCTGGGGCTCAAACTTTGGAGATCTTGTTAATAATTGAAAGCCTCTGCCAACTACTCTACCTGTGTGGGTTTGTTCATAATGTTCAATGTGATTCAGCTTAGGGTTCTTATCAATATGGTGTTTCTGGGTTTGGTATTGAGTAACCTCTGTGTTCTCTGAAGCACCTTACTCTGTAATGAAAACATACATACTCTACTCAGTAAATAATAACGTACTATTGCTAAATTCATCAGCTGCCAGATGGAAGGGTCATTAAAGTAGGCACTGAAAGGTTCCAGGCTCCCGAGGCTCTTTTTACTCCAGTAAGTCTACAGTTTTGCGTCTCTCTTCCTTTTCAAGTCTTTTATGTAAATTTTCATATTACAATGTTGTGCAGTTACAAGGTCCATCTGAATATTAAGTAGTTGTTAATTTCATTCAACTTCTTGTTTTCAGCAAAATTATTTATAGGTCCTGTTAAATGGTGTGAACAGGACAATTTTTTTATCTGTTTAATTTATCCAAGGGACAATCATTCTGGGCTCACAATAACATGCAAAGCTGCAGCTCACGTAGTTTATTGTCAGCTTCATTATATGGTCATCTTATTTTCTGTTAAAATTTAATAAAAGAGCAGTTGATCATGTTGCCATAATACTAGCACTGGTTTTAGAGTTTTGTTTTTTTTTTTTAATCATCATCATCATGGTAGACTATAAAAGGCCATGCAATTAGAACAAGATGTTGATAGGTTTAAAATTCAGAAAGTTATTGGTGGTTCTTTTTTGCAGGAACTCATAGATGTTGAAGGTGATGGAATGGCTGACATGGTTTTTCGCTGCATTCAAGAAATGGATATTGACAATCGTATGATGGTACTAGCATTATTTCCACATTTCACTCCTGATATACATCTTAATGCAGTTAATAGACTTGATTCCTGTAACCATGGTTTTAAAAAACGGCCATTACGTATATAACGGTAACGAGGCAACCCGTTACCATTTTTCGGCATTATAAGGGCCTCAACGCCGTTTCACGCCTATAACGGCGTTACCATTATGTAATGCCGTTATTAGCCGTTATATAATGGTGTTATATATAAAAAATTTAAACTACTAAAAAAAAAAAACCTGAAATGCAGCTGGGCATTTTTTATCTTCTTTTGCTTTCTTTCTCCTGCAATTACTAATGAAAAGGAGGGACTTTTTTTTGTCTTCTTTTGCTTTCTTTCTGCCGCAGTTACTAATGAAAGGAGGGACATTTTTTTTTGTCTTCTTTTGCTTTCTTTCTCTTGCAATTACTGAAATTATAATGTATTTTATTAGTTTTCATGTGATATTAATCTATTGGAAGTTTTATTAATTATTTTTTATAATAAATTTAACTATTGTTATATGTCATTAAACTATTAGAGATATGATTACTTATTATTATGTTTAATTAGTAAAACTGTCAAAAAATGTGAATTAGAATAAATTTATTACCAGTTGCTAATATATTCACACAATTAACTACCGCGACCGTTATTTTACGACCGCGATGAGTCGCGACCTGCGATCGCGATCGTGACCATTTTTTCAACCGCAACCGCTATTTAAAACTATGCCTGTAATTGTTGGATGGGGATATTAAAACTATAACCTATTTAACATGAGAACTTAACGTTACAAAATGGGTCCCACTTAGGTTATGATTTCTCATATTAAGTGATTGATTTCTCAGATTAGAGTATGTTCCATCTTTTTTTCTATATCAGTTACTTCTCAAAGTCTGTCCAGTATGTTGTCTTCTTTATTCTAGTTGTGCACATGTCGAACCATCTCCTGTACTTGCTGCAGCATTTTGTGACTATGTTTGTAGAATCCCTCTGGCAAATGCAATAAATCCATGCAACAATCTAGTGGGTGATAACTAACAATGGGTTGGGGTCTATATTCTTTCTGTAATCCAGAATATTGGTTATTAAGTAACTGAAGTAGCTCTAAGGGAAGGCCCATATAGCTGGTAGGCCACAGTCTTGCCATCTTTTCTTCTTATGTTGGTTTGCATTTAGAATTCCTGATAGGGCTCGACTTGAGTTGAGTTCATGTTAATTTCCCTCTCTCTCTCTGCAGCTCTACCAGCATATAGTCTTAAGTGGAGGGAGCACTATGTATCCAGGGTTACCTAGTCGGTAATATCTTTAATTCCTTTACTCTGGCTCACTTTCTTCTTGCATAAAATATTCAGTCGTTCCAGTTATGTTTTACATTGCTTTTAGCATGCACTTTTAGGTTCATGTTTACAAATTCCTGTTAGCACTGATAGAAGTTCACAAGTGCCTGATGCCATGTATTACGAAAGTGGCATGAAATGTGAAATGATGTCCTATGTTGGCTGCCAATATGATTATTCCTAATACTGCAGGATTCTTGGTGTGAAGTCAATCCCCTTTTTTTGGGTTCTCTGCATTGTCACACAATGTTCAAGGATTTTTAAAACCTGTTTTAGAATTTTTCACAATATATTTCTGCAGTGGACCTAGTGGCTTCTATCATTTTCTGCAGGCACACAAGGATGTGCCTTTTGCACTGTGTGAAATCTGGAAACCACCGGAGGATTTATTTACATTTTTATCATTTATTTATGGTTCAGCCTGGAGAAAGAAATACTGGATCGCTATCTTGATGTGGTTCTCAAGGGAAATAAGGATGGGTTAAAGGTAAGGTCCAAGTCTTTTATAATATCACTTAGAACGGGAAACAATTACCAAACACTCAATGCATCATTTGAATAATTTAAGAAAGGTTCTATTCTATATACTAGCGATGGCTTTGGTGCACTTAGTTGATGTAGAAGTAACATATCAGGGTTGAGATTATATCTTGTGAACAGAAACTGCGATTGAGGATTGAAGATCCACCTCGAAGAAAGCATATGGTCTACCTTGGTGGTGCAGTTCTTGCAGGAATTATGAAGGTACATGCTTCTATCTCTCTCTCTCTCAACCCTAAAAGATCGATTTTATTTGTAAAACAGCTCATGGCTATTTGCTCACAGCAGTTTAAACTTCTTCTGATGGTTTAGTTGTGAAGTAAAATCTGTATGCTGTGGATAATTTGATGCAGGATGTACCTGAGTTTTGGATTAGCAGAGATGATTATCTAGAAGAAGGGGTTGCTTGTGTGAGTAAGTATGGCCAGGCATGAAGTATATATGCACCGAACTACCTATAGAACGAGCCAATACATCCTCTGGTTAGTTCTCGGACTGCCTTCTTCTGTAACCCTGGGGTTTTGCTACAGTCCATGAAGCACTTAACTATGAGCTACAGCTTTGAAGTGTTGTGTATTGCAATAAAAAAATGAATTTTGAATAACTCAAATTGCGATGTATCTTCTTGAAAATCTTGTATATTTTGATTAAGGTGTGAGGTTGATTGTACTTACAGATGCTAGTGATTGATTTGTGTTTGCAAAGGATTGACTATAATACGGTCTGTCTTGGAAGAAATACACATAGTTCTGCAGCATTTTTTGAAGGCATATTTTCATTTCTAATCTTTCTCTAATCAAAACTAGATTTTAGTGTTTCTACTTTAATCATACCATTTACCATGTGTGTGCCCGCAAATCACCGAGGGTGTTCGAAATTATTGTTGCTGAAAGCTGAAGTTTGGGCAAACCAACCACCAGAAGAATGACGCCCAGTATGAGCCCTAACCAGTTGTTCTCTGAGGCTATAGCCCTCTTACACGAGATGGTTCAACTAATACCGGGCTTATGGTCCAACCAGATGGCCCACGTGAAATTTTTGTTTTCTTTCACTTGTAACGACTAACGCCTATACAAAGACTAATAAATATAAATCTAATCAATAATCAATTAGAGCGGTTGTTTTTCAGTCAGTTTTTCAGTCACAGTTGTTAAAAAATGGCTAGAGCTTCTGTTGTGTCAAATATTAACTAACCCATTTTCTTCTTCCTATCGTAGAAAAGATATGACTTTTCAGTTCGTGAATGTGGTTTTATTGCTTGCCTTGGAGTCATCAAAAAGGAAAATGTCCCCCCTGGATAGCTGAGCATATCCTTTATACCTCCAAAATTTGTTTGGAGAATAACGGAATTATAGAAAGAAGAAACAACTAGCGGCGTAGGATTGAAGAGGAAGCATTCTAAGATACAATTACCACAATAAATAAAAATAGCGACACCATCTTTTTGTTTGTTGAGAAATCACACCTCACCAAATCACCACCTTTTGCTTTTGTATTTTTTCCGACAAAAAACTTATTCCAAGAGGTTAATCAAATCATTTGAAGTCTAGAAATATGCCTCCTAAGAATGCCAAGCTGGCTGTGTCCACTGCCCAAAATGTGGAAATTTGTATAGGTTTTCAATGGTTGATCTATGACAGCATCATCAATGAACAATTATTAGTAACAAATGGTGTATTTGTGACTTTAACTAAGGCATTAACCATTAACCACTACAGTAACTTGGAACTCGTGAGTTTCGATAAATCACTAGTATGGATCCAAATGAGGAAAATCGTCTTTCAAGGATCAAAATGGAACTTTTTAGTTTTAAGCTCAACAGTAATAATACACTCAAGCCAGTTTGTATGTATCTGAACGAACAATCTTAAGAAACACATCACATCTGCTACATCAACCTAATGCATTCGAAGTCCAAAGATTCGATCTTTAAGAATTTAAAAAATAAAACAAATCTCCTTGGCAACCAAACCAACTCTTCGGAGTTAATTTAAATGGAACTAAATACAAAATTACAAGAAACTAAATTGCATAATATCACAAGACGTGGTGGTTTTAACAGCTAAAATCAACAAAACATAAAACCACACAAAATCATCCGCTATTACAAAAATAGTCCGGCATATGAGCATGTCCATTTTTATTTTTCTTTTATTTTTTATTTTTTGACAATACAATATCAGTGGTCTTAAACACGACTCGTTCATTAAAGTTAAGTAAAATTTAGACAAACAGTAACACAACTAACGAAACATGATTTTTCTCAATGAAAATAAATTAAAATAGAAAACACCTGTTATTGGGGACAAACAATAAAAGAGAGATTAAAATAGAAAAGAAGAGAAAAATGGACTAATTACCTCTGACAATGATTTCTGTCATTGCGTCTCATACCTACAAAATATTTCAGTCTATGCCTGTACTTCTCTACAATAAGTAACCTGTATGGCAGGCAGGCAGGCAGGCAGGTTCCTTCACCTTGAACAAGACATAAAAAAGGGAAAAAAAAATGAAAGAATCTGAACTCCTATACGCTCCTTCAGTAAACCTGTACAAAATCTACTCATCTACAAAACAAATGGGAGAAAAAATTACAAGAAATGCTCAGCATGTATCAGTTACTCATCAAGATGTTGTATCTCACCCATCATAATGCGATTGCTAGAAACCTTGAAACCAAGGAGAGCAGGATCAATCTGCCTTCCTTTCTTCCCTTTCTTTTTCCCACTTCGCCCAGCCAGGGAAGCATCAGATGATTCCAACGCAGCTGCATTAGCTGCTTCAGCCTCGGTAAAAACTGGCTTCTTTAGCACATCTATAAATGATGTCTCTGTTATACCAGCATCGTTGTAAGATGAGGTCCTCCTATAACGTACTTCTTTCTTGCCAGATGCCTGGGTATCACCTCCCCGGGGTGCTGCTGCATTCTCTACAGGCTCGTTCCTCCTTTCTGAAAGTTACCAAAGTTTTTCAATTTTAAATCAACACCACAATTACCCAAAACCAACCAAAAATAGAAAAAGAAAACACATCGGGTACAAAAATAGCATACCATCAGAAGTTGCAAGGCTTGCCGGATTTTTTGCTTGGTATGCAAAGCAGATGCCGTTTCTGACAAAACATCCTGGGAAGACAAGGCCCGTGACACTGGTGGGCGTTTATGCAAGCTATTGTCAAGCCCTCTTGTTAAAATAGAGGGTATCCTGTCCAAAAGAATTTTTTATGAACACCAATATAAGTTTCACATTAAAATAGCACAACTCGCAACTCCTATATTTAAGAAGCAAGACCTTTCCAATAGCTTGACGTCAAACCCACAAAAGCTGAGCATACACACAAACACAGAAGTTGCTAATAGTCAAGTTATGCATAAACAGTTGAACCACTGAGCTCACATGCAAATTCTGTAAATTAAGAAATTCAAACCAGCGTTAATCTTTAACGTAGAACTACAGCAAGATCACCAAATCAAGAGAGACACCCTTAATCTTGAGGTAACCAAAACAAGAGTCACTTAATCTTGGAGAAAACCGAAGTTTATTTGGTGATTCATTACACTTGAAAGTCTGCCTAGGGCGTTTATTTACAGGCACCCAATAAAATTAAACCCTATATTTCTTTCTCAAATAAGCAGCCCTTAAAAATCTATTATGTGGGCTGCATCAATGTCATTTTCGCCACAAATAAGTGCAAAGGAAGTGGTTTTGACTGCACTTCTTGACATGTTAAAGCTTTTACTTTGTCATAATTGAAGAGAGAAATTTAAAATGAGGTTAAGGGTGACAAAAATATCTGCACCAACTCACGTTTTATTGTGAAGCAACTACTTGATGAGAAAAGGATGGGTAATGCAAAAACTATTCTATGGTTTGGCCCATTTGCAGTCCAGTGAGTTTAAAAATTTGGCACTTCAATGATCTGTGATTTTCTCTGTTAGCTTTTACTTTTTCCTCGTCAGTTAAGTTACTAGAAATAAGTCCATGATACAGCAGCTACTAAGTCTAAGACACAAGATGACATGACACCATGTTAATGTACGAGCACAAGGACACCCACAAATCCAAGGCAGTCAAGGTGCAAGTGTTCAATGAAATACTTCCATCTTGTATTAAGCTTCTTAATAAAGAGAACGGAAGAGAGCACCTGACCTATCAAAGAGTAATCATGTATGTACTCCGAACCCAGTTTTGTAAAACACAATATTCAAGATAGAGAATTAATTTCATGATCAATGAGACAAAATCTTCAACCTCATTAAAAACATTTCTATGCCACAACTCAGCATACATTACCTGTCATTAGAAACCTCTTCGGCAGTGGATTTATCTAATCCCATCTCATAGCTGTGTAGGCCTCCATTACCACCTACAGAATTTTACAAAGCCTCTAATATCCATCTAAGAAAAAGAGTGACATCTAACAAGATATATGTAAGAGATATTACCAGCACTGCTAAGTGAACTATGCCTGCTACTCTGCCTGCTATTGGCATTAACAAAATCCATAGCAATTTCAGCTTGTTCAACAAAGTTTTCTTCAATGTGCGAAACAGACCTGGCCATGGGACCCATGCCTTTGGACCCATATCTGTTATCCAATTCTGCCAAGTCTTTATATATTGTTGATTTAGCACCAAACCTGTTATCCACATGATTAGCATGCGAACTATCTATTATGCCTGACAATAATGTTGGTTCCTCATTTAGTGCTCCAGATTTAGACCTAACTGACAATCTTTCACCATTTCCTAGATGGTGTAGCTGACCACTCAAGGCTGCAGGAGGATTATCATTCAAAATATAATTTGAATTCAAATTTTGAGACCTTTCCATGAATGAGTCATCCATGGCAATTTCTTGATCTGGAATATGACTGAAAGAGGATGACTCAGTGATTGGCCAGAAGGATTCCCGAGATTTAGAAGAAGATATAAGGTGACGATCATCTTCTGATAACTGAATAGACTGAAGACCCATTTTCTGGTGAAGATCCATTAAAACTTGCTTTGAGTTCTCCTCATTTCCTCGAGTGGAGGTCCAAATACTAGAGTTTCCAGCAACTTCTGAAACATTTCTTTTTCTTTCAGCTTCAAGATGCAACTGTTGCATCCCTCCTTCAACCCAACTATTATCTTGCTGCCTTTGTTTTTCAGAGAGGTAGCTCTCCGTCATTTCCGCATGAGAAGCATAAATATCTTCAAGAACTTGTCGCTGATGAGAGGGGATATTCGAAGAGAAGGAACCTAGTTGATCAGCAGAATGCATATATAGATGTTCTGCTGAATCTGGACTCTGGGAAAGACCGTTTACATTATCCAACTTCATCCCATGAGTGACAGCAGGATGAGATGTCAGATGGTTAAATGCCATCGAGCTAGGCTCATAAAACCCACTCTGATGCGGCTCCTGTAAAGCATGGTTCCATTTGATATGGCTTAAATGTTCATCATGTGAGGAAGGCCTCTGCTGTTGCAGGTAAAAATCTGAAGTGTTAAATCCTATAGACTTAGACTGGTGATGACCAGTAGCATTTCTGACGGTCTGACCAGTTTCATCAATGGACCATGGCCCACCAAATTGCCTTTCACCATCCATTCCTAACTGCTGCCTTGCCAAAGATAACTCTTGTGCCTGCATTTGTTCTTGCTGTAGACGGAACTGCAGGTCTGAAGAGAGTATATTACCATGCTTAACCTGTGATAAGAAATCTAAGATATTAGTCTGAGGTTCTTGAAGATTATTCTGGCCAATCTTTGCTCGAATCATCTGCTCCAGTGACAGATCTAGGTGCCTTGTATTATGAGAATTCTGCTGCAGTTCTGCTAGTCGTGTCCTAAATTGAATCTGATCAATCAAATTGTCTCTCACTGGATCTCCCTTTCCCTGTCCATAGCCGAGATCAGGCATCTGATTCTGCAGCAAATGTTCCAGAACCTGCTGCTGCTGCAATTTCATTTGGTACTGACGAAGCTGTTGTTGCTGAAGCTCAAACTGTCTCTGCTGCTGAAGCTCAAACTGTCGCTGCTGTTGCTGATGCTCCAATTGCCGCTGCTGATGCTCCAATTGCCGCCGCTGTTGAAGCTCCAACTGCTGTTGATGTTGAAGCTCCAACTGCTGCTTACGTTGAAGCTCCAACTGCCACTGATGTTGGAGTTCCAACTTTCGCTGCTGCTGTTGAAGCTCCAACTGTTGTTGCTGTTGAAATTGTAGTTCAATAAGATGAGAAGGGATTTGCTCAAACCCCAGTTCTGTAGTATGTGTGAAGGGATGAGATAAATGATTCTGCTGTAGACGTTCATTTTGGATCTTCTGCAACATGAGGCGCTGCTGGTCAAAATCATTGAAGTCTGGCTGCCTGTGCAATAAGTGCCGAGCATCTGCAGAACCTAGATCAATGTGGGGATTAGCAAGTGGCTTTTTCCTATAACTTTCAGGCCATGTCTCAGCATAACAGGATTGATCAGATACTGCATCAAAGGACTTGTGACTGGCAAAAGCAGCATCATGCTCTGTATAAGGATCCATAGCATGACCCTGTGCTGTAAATTCATCACCCGTGCTTGAAGACATATTGGATGATTGACCACGCCTCAGATTAGAGTTGCTTCTGAGCTCAGACATAGACAAGCCAAATGGATGAATTATTTCATCTTGATGAGTATGCATGCCAGTTTCTGAAAATTCATTTAAGATGGCAGGGTTGGTAGAAGGATTAGAAACAAAACTCTGAATGTCTGCAGTATCTCTCATCAAAGGGTTGCCACTGCTTCCGGGCCTTCCAGGAAAGACAATTTCTGTATCCAAAAAAGATTAGAGCAATTAAATTAGTGCAATGAATGAATAAAGTGACATGAACAGCAGAATCGTTCTAAGCAACTTACCTTCATCCAGAGCAACATTTTGGAATCTTTGATCATTAGGATGCTCTGCCCCACTGAGAAAACCATAATCAGGAGCTCTTGACTGACCACTAAGACCAGAGATGGGCTCAAATCCAGATGAAGCCCAGTGCTGGTCTTCCCTGGCAACAGAAACCCTAAAGTCAAGAGAAGCAGGAGTCGCCGTGCTCCCTTCCAAGTTTTCTCCAATGTCATCAGGCAGTTGTAACTTATTAGCAGATGGACTAGCAATTGAAGCACACCCAGGTTTAAGTTTTAGCTGAGGCATAATGTCCCCTAGCTCACGGAAGGGTAATCCATCAGAAGCATCTGACAAACGAACTGGCAGATCAGTTCCAAAATATCCTTGCTCAAACCATGCAATAATATCAATACCAAGGTATGGTCCCTGAATTGCCCCCTGAGGATCCAGATAGCACAATGATAGCTCCTCGGGTGGGATAGTACTCCCAAATTGATGCATGTCATTATTGCTATTCACGGAAAACTGATGGCTGATTGAATTTGGCTGTGCAGAAGAAAAATCAAATAGAGAACTTGAATCATCAGGAAGCTGGCTGCCAATCTCAAAAGAAGTAGCTGGCTCAGTATCCCCCAACTTAAGGTTCTTCTGAAAGATCACATCTGCCACTGGTTGTCTTTCAAAAGCTTTCAACTCCGTAATGTTGTCACTCAGACCACTCTTCCCAACACTGCTGGAATCGTCTTTCATGAAAACTGCAGGCGCAAAGCCATCCATCAATGCTGTGCCCATTGTTGTTGTCTGCTTCTGTTTATCATCTTTATTCGCATCCTTTGCTGAAATTCATAACAGATGGAATAGTATTAATTCTGTGAATTAAAATAAGTCAAGAACTTGATATTACTATTACTTACTCTCAGCAGTTGATGCATCTAACGTCGCAGTGCCAGTACTTTGACCAGAAGCATTATCAGGAATCTTTCCTAAAGAGTCTCCAATTTCTCTGGTCTTAACAGAAGAACTCTCATTCCCATCACCTAAAGTAACCTCACCAAAGCCTAAATAAACAAAAATGCAAGTTAGAAAGAATAGACAGTATGAGGTGCAAAAGTCAACCGAAGATGCAACACTAATCACCTGAAGTATTATTATTTGAAGAGTCAGTCTTCTCTCTAAATGAGTTGTTTGATCCTCCACTGGTTGTTATTTTTCCCAGCTGTATATCTCGAGCGACAGTCTGCAAGAAACATATGATCCAATTTAAAGCAGTGACAGTAACCATAAGACATTCCCTTTACATGACATTATATAATTAACATACCTCTTCCTCGGCATCAGGTGCTACAAAAGCCAATGGCTTCATAGCAGTTTCCTGTGTTATTGGAGATACATGCTCCATCCCTTCCGGTATGGCATCAGAACTAGGAAGTGGCTGGTGCATACGGTAAATGTCAAGAAGTTTTCCCCTAGGATAGCAGAATATACGGTTCTTATCCACAGGACTGGACCCAATAGAAGAAGCAGTAAGAAGCCTGCCAATTTGTAAGTTCCCACTACTGTTGGCCCTTCCTCTTCCAGCAGCAAAACGCACATTCGAGCTCTCCACACGTCCTCTATCTGATCCAAATCCAGGCGCACTACGGTATGCAGCATGTCCACCAGAATGAACTTCCATACGATGGCGGGGCCTCCACTTATCGCGAGAATCATTCTCACGCTCAGAAGTTTGGCGGCTAGCAGAGCCAAAATTTTGTTTGTCACTGTGAGTGTCTTCCTTCTCAACATCTGCCCTCTTATCAGTTCGTGAATCCTTTTCTTTATCTTCAGGACCCCACCTAGATGACCACTTGGTGTCTCTTCGGGATTCATGCCCAGAAATGCGGTTATTGTTGTCATGCCAACGATCTGAAGAAGACAAAGTTCTATTCTCAGATACATCTCTAGTTGAAACAGAATCAGCACGATGCTCTTCCTTTCTGCGATCTCTTCTTCCAAGCAAACCTGTATCCCTCTCCTCCTCACGCCAACGGCGGCTGCTTTCAACATCAAGAGCAATCCTCCTTCGATCTTTCTTGTCTTGGGATCCATCTAAACGCCAATTGTCTTTCAAATTGTTATCAATGAGGTTTCCATGGGACAAAGAATTTGATGCACGTATTTCCTGTTGTATTCAGGCATAAGGGTTAATGGGAAATACCCACAAAAGAATAAAAAGGAAAAGTTTGTAGTACTACAACCTCAAGTCAAATATAAGTTCATCCTGCCACAAAACTCAGTGAATAGGTAGGGACTTAAAAGCAACAAGACTGCATTATTGCTGACAGATGAAAAAAAAGGGCTTCCCCCTATAAAGAGGTTAAAAATACTACTATCCAATCTCCTTAGGTTTAATTATTTGATAACTGTGAAGCAGAGTTAGACACAAAACTAAAAGTATTTCAACACCTTCATAAGTATAATTTCTTCTTATAAATCATTTAACTTATAAAATCCAATAAATGGCATCTCTAAATACTGGGAGTAACAATGCTAATTTAGAATTTCTCAAGGGCCCTAGCTAAGGTACATGGTTCTAAACATCAGAATATACAATCACACTGAATGACAAAAATTACCATGAATTGTTATTCAAAGTTGTAACAAAAGAAATATCCAAGCATGTATTATTAAATATCAGTACATTAAAAATAAAAATAAAAAACATGTCACCGGTCATATAGATAACCAAAAATCAACCAGTCAGTGAACATGTCCAACTTTAGACAAGTCAAATTTCATACCCCTGATGCTCCAGTAGTTGATGATTTCGCATCAACTGGTTTAGCATAAAGCCATTGTGGAGAAAGTGGAATAGTGTTGTCTGCAGTAAGTTGATCTGTAAAGCAACAACAATTAATATATAAAATACAATCAAAAGCCGCAAAATTCATGACAGACATCTGCACATAAGTATTCCTCGAATACCTTTGGACTCGTCAGGCAAACTCAACAGAGCCTTGTCCTCACCAATTCCTCCATGATCTACCATTTCCGAGAAAAAGACATTCATAAGTATTATTAGTTCCATTCATTCAAAACCAACGAAACCACAATATATATAAGAAAAACAACACTAATTTAAGCTCGGTGATCTATCACCACTTGGCACGAAAAATAAACTGAAATACAAATTAGCATCAAAGTCATATAACTTTAACAGTCATTCAACTTGCATTCAAATAAATCAAATCCTTTTTTTACAAAATAGAAAGTAGCAAGAGCAAAATTATAACATTCACAACCCTAAAGATGGAACCGAAATAAAAGTATACATAGCAATAAAGATAAATAATAATAACAATAACAGATCGATTGAAATAAAAGTATAATAAAAGAATGGAAAACTGAAATTAGAACCTTTGAAGGAGGAGAGGCGTTCATCGGTTGACTTGGAAGACAGGAGGAGATCGTCAGGGAGATTGAGCTTTCCTTCAGTCATCGTCGCTATCTAACACCAACAAAAATTGCACAAATTCGGTATGCACAGAGAGTTATCAATACAAAGAGAGAAGAAAGAAGAAGAAGAAGAAAGATATGAAAAGAGACCGATAAAACAGATTCCGATTGGGAGAGTATAGATTGCAGGGAGGGCAGGAGATTGCTAGGGTTTGGGAAATTGCAGGGAGGGAGAAAGAGCGAGAGAGAGATAACTGGTAAGGGTTTGTGTGTTCAAGAGTGTACCGATCGAAACAACCAAAGAGTGTGTGTTTAATTTTTGTTTTTTGTTTTTATATATCTATTTGTTTACTTCATCAGAAACGGTATTAAACTATTGATTTTTCCTAGATTAGGACATTTGAATTGTTTTCCCTATATAAAGCAAATGTGTCGTTTTGTTGAAATGAAAAATATTATTTATAGTATATGTCAAAAAAAGAGTAAATTATAAATTAGTCTCCCTATTTTTAAAAAATAAATTATTTATTTTCTTGATCACCACATTTAATTTAATATTATTTTATTTCATAAAATGTTATATTTTTTTATTTTATTTTTTACTTTTTTTTATTTCCTACAATGAAAATGAAAAGAAATTAAATTACAATTTTTTAAAAAATATATATATAGAGACAAAATAAACAGTTTTTAAAAGAACTCAAAACTAAAGGGACTAACATATAATTTACTCTTAAAAAAGGAAAAATGAGACGTCTCTTCGGGTTTATGACAGCTTAAATCTAATCTGTTACCTTATTCTTATTCTTTTTTGACTTTCATAAAAAAACAATAAAATTAAAGTTGGGAGATCATCGTACACGTAAATACCAGATCATATTTTATGTTAAAAAAAAAGAAAAAGAAGGTGAAGCTAAAGAACTTGTTGCAAAATACGAAGTTAAAGTGAAGACATGACCATCATCTCTTTACGCATGAAGATATTCATTCTTTTTTAGGGATACTGCACTGAATGATGTAAAGCTTTAAGAGGACAAAAGGGCAAAAACAATTACTTCTACTCCTCTAGAGCAAGAATCGAAGCCATTGAGAGGGAAAAGGAGGAAAAGGGTGTGGCTACATATGCATTAGATGTTGGTTAGAAAGAGTTGCAACTAGTTAAGGGTAGCTTTAAAGCACAAAACATGAACCCAAATCACTCTTGGTGAATGTTTCTTTTTCATCGTCTTCATCCCATGGAAAAGCTCTTCTTGAAGACGTTTTGAAGTAATAAATGTCACAAGAAGAAATAATGAATCAAAGCCAGGTTCAGAGACTAATATGAGGGAAATCTTGAAGGCCAATTTTCCTTTGCTCAAAGAAAGACACATTAGTGATGCAAAATGCCAAGCAAACAGTAACACATCTATCTTAATTGCCTTCGAACACTGCTGATTCTCCTGTTATTTTGTTTTCTGCATGCAAATACATCAGAGGCTTTATATTATAATCAGCTATTGTGCTTGGAACTATTGGCAATCAAGATCTCAAATATCATGCGTAAACCAACTCAAAAGGGAAGTAATGGGAAGTGCAGGTGGTTCAAAAAACCGCATCACCTGTTTTTGCTTTAATCAAAATTTTACTCTAAACAGAACAAAATTTTTTAAGCTGGAAAAAACCTCAACATGTATTAAAATCTAGGAGAAATATAGTCCGACGGTTAAATCCTTGAAAAAAAGACAGTAAAATGGCTCCTAGGTCATCCTCTGGGCAGCTTCTTTGGCAAGGACCCTCTCCTTGGCCTTGGTCTTGGCTAGGGATTTGGAACCCATGATTCCACCACCCCACTTCTTCCTGTACTCATCGTACTTGTCATTGAAGTTAGCCTGCAAATGAAGAAAAAATGTCCAAAAATGAATTGCAGGGTGAAACATTTCCAAAGATCACAATTATAAAAATATTTAATTCTACACACCTTGATAGCTTCCAAGATTCTGCTGAACTCCAACTTGTCTTCATTCTTAACCGTGGTCAAGCACAAAACAGCAGCAGTCTTCTTGTGGACAATCTATAAAAAAGGCTGAAAAATTCAGTTTCCAATCCACAACCGTCTTCTCACAATAGCATTTTAAACTACAAAGATACAGGCACACTCACTGCTCCCAATCGAGATTTTCCCTTCACGATGCAGTATGGGATTTCCATCTTCCTACACAATGCTGGTAGCCATACAACCAACTCGATAGGGTCCACATCATGAGCGATAACAACCAGCTGTGCTTTTTTCTGCAAGAAATAGGTGATGGGAAAGTACATTATCAAAAGAATTCCAACAGCTTAGAGGACTAGTGCTAGTAGATAGCATGTGCAAGGTAAACCGATGCACAACCTGCTCGATGAGATAGGTTACATGGTTGAGACCATATTTCACAACAATAGGCTTCTTAGCCTCAACAGTTTTTCCTTCAGTCTCTGCCTGAGCCTTCTTCAAGAGGCGCTCCTTCTTTTCTGCTTTGTCTTCAGGGCGGTACTTCAGAAGCATCTTGAACAAGTTCGATGCTGAACAAAGAGTTTACAAAGGAACAGTATTAATATAAATATCATGGCAAGATAAAAAAAAAACAACAAAACAAAAAGAAAAGAAACTAAGCCAGAAAGCTAGGATATTTAACAATCACACCACTTGTATGTTGGATTGTTTCTACTATGTAAGCAATCAACAAACAAGATGGGGTTCACATACTAGTTCAGAAGACAAGATTGGAACAGCACATTAACTTTTACCATCAACATAAATCAAAATACTAAATGGGCACGAAGCAAAGATAATTAGAGAGCCTAGATCTGAATCAATACCATGATACAGGAAACCACAAAGGACCACTGAATGACTAAGGAAAAAAGCTATCAAAACAAACGGCAAGGATAGACTCAAGTTTTAGCTAGTAAAACCACATAACCACTGCTAAAAATTCCGGTTGATTAAACTTTCTTTTTCAGAAGTTGAGCTTAAAATATAATCATGGCCAAAAAGCCATCCTTAAATCCACAAAGCTGGTCTTTATTCCAGTTTTGATGATGTTCCATAAATCCATAAAACCGGCAAAAATGAACCAAAATTTTATTTTCCTTATATTCTAACTAGACTTTAGGGTACAACACAAACAAGCCCATTGAAATAATACATCAAATAAATAAAGCATAACAATATCTACAACACCAATTGCATGCATAGAACAAAAAAATCATAATTCAGCAATCATTCATTATGAATGACATTGATCAGCATGAAGTCTCCCTAACTACGAGCCCATGCTTCTATGCAACAAAACCAGACAATCAAAAAATCTAATTCGTACTTAATAAAAATGTCAGAAACGGTACCGAGATTCTTGTCAAGGGTCTTGGTGAACTGGTTCAAGGTAGGTGGAACCTTCAATCTCATCTTGAGAATTCTCTTCTTCCTCTGAATCTGAACCATCTTGGGCATCTTAACGAATCGGCTCAGATCCCTCTTTGGTGGCAAAGCCCCTCCAATTCCAAACTGCTTCGGCCTCTTCTCGAACAATGGATTCGTCACCTTCTCCTAAACAAACCACCCCAGAAACAAACACCATCAGAAAATAAGCAAAGCCCAAAATTCTGGAACTCGATTCGAAAGGATGAGTTTTAAAAGAGAGTTTGTTTGTTACCGGTTTCTTCTTTCCGGCAACCACCGGACCCTTTCCACCTCGCTTTGGTGCCTTTCATGTTCAAACATTAAACAGCATGTCAAAAACAAACAATAGCAATCTAAGCTTAATGAAATTGAATTAATTTGAGTGTTAGAGAAGATGAATAGATTTTGTTCGAGGAAGAGAGAGATCAAGCTCACCATTTTTGCGCAGTTTCAAGCTCCTTTCGCTTCTCTTCGCTTCAGTTACACGAGCACCAAGAGTTTTAAAAAAAACAAAAAACAAAAAAACAAAACCCTAATGGGTATCACAGTGCCAGGGTTTTGTACAGTGATGGGTTTTGCGAAAATACGGGACCTGGCCTAAGTTGCCTCGTACTGAAAGGTTAAGAATCCAAGATGGCACTTGAACTCAATAGAAGCCCAAAAACTTACGAGAAGACCCATTATCTTTTTTTAATAAAAAAAATTCCAGTTTGAAAAAGTAACAGACAATAACGATCTTTCTAGCAACGTCTTGTCTATTTAATGATTTGGATGACAAAAAAAAATTCTTTTAAATTTCCAAACCTAGACTACATGTCTGAAAACCAATTGCATTTCACATATATGAATGAGTTCGAGCGCTATAAATCAGGAAGAGAACGGAATGCATTATCAAACTATGTTAATGAAAGATTCAAAACTGCTGATTAATGTCAATCTCTTTCATCTAGTTGAAAACAACCAATAGAATTTTATTCGCAAAGACAAGAATCATGATGGGCGAAGAATATAAATAATCTGACTTGTGACGGCATAAATCTATAGACATAAAAAGAAAAAAAACTAAATAATCTAACAAATGACGAAGAAATGGAGAGATTGTCGCTCATGAGAATCATCGAGACAGCTAGACATAGGGGTGTTCATTAGGTTTTTTGGTTCGATTTCGGTGTTTTTATTTCGGTTTTCGGTTAACCAAATTGGTTAAATAAAAAACCGAACCGAATTGATGTTCGGTTTTTCGGTTAAAAAACCGAATTTTTTCGGTTCGGTTTTTCGGTTTTTTAGTTAAAAACCGTTTTTTTTTCTTCTAAAAATCGAATTATTTTGCTTTTAAAAAATATCAAACTTGCATAATCAAAGATTGCGTATTTCACATTTGGTTTTATAAGAAAATTATTTATGATTATTATTATTTTTCTATAATAAATATGTTTCTATTTATATTATAAACTAAATTAGTTGGGCTTCTCATTATTTTTTCAATCATGCTATAATTGGTTTTTTATTGATTTTTCATATTATTTTTTTAATCTATTTATTTTGTGCATATTTTATTGTTGAATATATAATATGAAAAATCTAATTTTTAATTTATGTTTGTGCCAATTTTAATATAAGGAGACAATTTTTTTTCATGAGATTTTAGGATTCACCCATACATAAATTTGTGTTTTTATAAATAATTTCTTTATCATAGTCTTTTTTTTATTTTTTTGTGAGTCAATATAATATAATTAATTATTTTTTATTTCAATAAATAATTAATGAAAAATATTTCTATTTTAAGTAGAAAAAAATCGTTAAAGCTATTGTTCTTTTAGTTAAACCCATAGGTGCCTCTTTGATTTTTTTTTTTTTTAAAGTTTGGGTATGTGTTAAAAAAAAAAAAAAACTAATTCAGTTTTCGGTGGAAACCGAATTTGAAAAAAACAACCGAATCGAACCGAAATAATTTCGGTTTTCGATTTTGGTTTTTTAAAAAAAACCGAACCACAATTGTTAATTCGGTTCGGTACGGTTCGGTATTTCGGTTTTAATCGAATAGTGAACACCCCTAGTTAGACAACTCGTTTTATGAAAGACTAAGTTTTTAGAGGGATTTAAAAAAAAAATAAGAAAGTTTATTGTTGGGAACTGAAAATTGAGAAGACCCATTATCTTAATCACTATATAAAATGAATTAGGATAGATGATAATAATAATTCAACTAGGAAAAATCATGGCATCCTGGAAAAAAAAAAACCATTCTTATAAATATTAACTATTTGCAATATTTTGAAACAAATAGTTTAACATTGAGAGTAATAATATATATATATATATATATATATATATATATATATATATATATATATATATATTGATTATTCATATGTTGCATGTGAATTAAGGCAAATAAATAAATAAAAAGGTTGTGCACAATAAAATAGATGTTGAAAAATAATAATTATAGTAAAAGATTGTTATGATAATAGTAAAGGAGTTAGAGAGAAATATGATAAAAACATAAATTTATTATGAAAGAAAGTGAATACAAATAATAGCAATCGTAAAACAACTCTCGCTTTCTACAAAAACTCTATGTTATCAACTAATGAATAATCAAATCTATTTATAAACTTCTCGTTATTTTTTTCTTAATTTGACTTTTTTTATGTCTCACGAGATAAAAGTATAACATATACTTGATTTAGATTTACTAATTCATTATCATAGAGTAATAATGTCATCCGATTTTTCAAACAAATAGAGACGCATGTAACAAGCAAAAAGAGATTTGTTTTCTTTCTCAATCTTAACATCGACTTTTCTTAGTTTTCTTAGTTGATTCAATCTACTAGTGAACACATCCAAGTGCCCATAAGATCCCCGTCTTATTCTATCTTCGACTTGTAAAATTATCACTTCAAATATAACTTGTTGGCTAAACTCTTTAGCGAGTAAACGTTTTCCAACTTTTTCATATTGTAAGCACTTGAATCTTCATTCATAACATTATTGACAAAATTATTAGCAATACAAAGTCGAATCATGTTCACACACCTTGATTCCAACTCCTCTTACTCATGCTCCTTCATCTCTTTTGGCTTTCCATCTTTTTCCTTCAATGCTTTAGCCAAGCCACGATGAACAAAATGATGTATTTCACCCTTCGTTGTCAAAGAATAAACCTTTCAAAGCCCTATTGAATAAGAATGTATTTAACCCTTCATAACCAAAGAGTAAAACTTTCATTCTCATTAAATTGTTCCACGATAAATTGAAGCTTGCTATGTATAGGTATTATTTATGATCAAAAGCTGAATCTCCCACAACTAGGCTTTGATACTTGGTTTGTTGAAAAATTTAAAGAATTTGAAATTCAACACACCATTACAAACTACCTAATTCGATGAAAGGAAACTAACGAGAGATGAATAAAGATAATTAAAGAGTGGATACATAAGATTTAACATGATTTGACAAAATCTTGCCTACTCCATGTCATAACCAAAATTTCAGAATTCTTTATTTTTAATTGATTATTTGTTTTCTTTTATTTTAAGTTTTTTATTTATTATTTATTTTTCTTATCTTAACCAATGTTATTATTTCTATTTATTCCATTTTTCTTAATAATGTGCAAAATGCCAATATATATATATATATATATATATACAAAAAAAAAAAACAAGGTGAATTTAATATTCGGGGATGCAATTGTAATAAATTCAAAAGTATTATAATAATTGAGGATACAATCGAATCATTTAAAAATTCAAGAGCCGGATTACATTGGACAAGGACCAAATTGACCTAATAACAATTTACGGTGACTAAAATGCAAAAACAAAACAAAAAAATCAAAAAAAAAAAAATTACAAAAAATCGGAAAATACAAAGTTTGCACCCCTCCTGCCCAGAACTAATTTCTAGGATTATTTTTTCTCCTGCTTCACGGATTCATTTTTAGTTTCGATTGCGAGAGCCGATTTCGTGCTCGATTTCGATCTTGATTTCCAATCCTAGAAAAAATTAATTCCCTCAACTACAGCTGCCATTTCTCCCTCATCACCTAGTCAACAATAGCAGCACCCCCACTCGCTCGACCTCACTGTTTCTGCTGCAACTCCCACGGTCCCTTCGGACCACTTCCCCCAATTCCTACGACCTCACCATGCTGCAACTGGCAAGAATCGCACAGACTCCTTCCCCTATTACCAACCCCGCCACAACCATTCCCTACAACCCAAATGGTCACGCACGCCCACCAGAGATCCTGTAAAAAAAAATCTCACACCATCATGGTGGAGAACCAAGCCAATATTCACACCGATATATATATATATATATATATATATATATATATACACGGCGATAGAAAGAAAAAAAGAAAAAAAGAAGGGAGGGGGTTTTTTTTTCTTTAGTCCGATATCCAAGAACAAATTAATTAAGAGGGAAGCTCGCAAAATTAGGAAAGAGTTAGCGATTGAAAAAAAAAGGAAATCGGCAGTAAAGAAAAAGAGAGAAAATCCGAAACAAAAAAAGAAATTAAATTTACCTGAATTGAAGGCAATCCACATCCATTCCAACCAATTCTTTTAGGTAATCCCTCTAATTTCTCTTTAATTTCGTTTTTTGTTTCAATTTAAGTCCGATTTAAAGTTTGGGATTTTTTCGAAATTGTAAAAATTTGAAGAATAGATTTGGGGGTTTTGATAAAATTGAGTCCTAAAGGATGTGAATTAACTTGATTTCAATCTAATCAAGGCAATATCGCATGAAAATTTGAAGAATTGAAAAATTAGGGTTCGGTCGAATTGGGGAGAATTTTTAGAAATTGATTTGGGGGGTTTTTGTTTGAGCGAGGGAAAGAAGGAAAGAAAGGGAGAAGAAAGAAAGAAAAGGGAAATCAAGCTCGCCATGGATGAACCTCCACTGGTTCGTCCATGGCGAGCAGCAACGTGTTACAAAAAAAAGAGAGACGGGAAAGAGAAATGGAAGGAAAAGAAAGAAGAGAGGGGTGCGGGAAAGGAGGAAGAGAAGAAAACGAAAGAAAACAAAAAAAATAAGGACGAACCTGGTTCGTCCATGGCGATCGGGTAGAGAGAAGGGAAGAAGAAGAAGAAGAAGAAGAAGAAGAAGAAAGAGAAACGGGAAAGAGAGAGGAGAAAAGGGAAATTGAAAAAAAAAAAAGAAAAAGGGGCTCTTGATCTTAAGTTATGCTTGAAATGGGTTTTGGGTTTGGTTTTTGGGTTTTTTTTTGGTTTTAAATGGTGTGGGTTGGGCTTGGCCCAACCCACGGATTAATGCTTGTTGGACTGAAATTTCAGTCGAGTCCGTAAATAAAAAAGAAGAAGAAGAGAAATTCGAGTCGGATAGCCCAAAAAAAAAAGACTGAATTTTTTTATAGGGATTTTGTTATTTCGTATTAAAATTAGCTATTGAATTGTTTT